ATCGAAAGGCCCTAATATTGGGCAGTCCAGCGACCATATTATGACGTCACATGGAGATTAGCTAGCGATTTGAGGATATTATATAACTATATATATATATATATATATATAACTACGAACTAATTGACCAAACGATCTGTTTTTTTTAAAGAAGCGTCTTTCCAATAACTTTTAAAACCTATTTTAAAAAATTTGATTTGTTTATAAGTGCAAAAATTCGACCAATATTTAAACAAGCGCCAGAGCTCTCTTAAATGACGGATTCGAATTGTTCAAAAAGCGTTTAAAAGCTTGAGTGCCCTACTATATGTTGTTAAATTTTCACGTATCTAGGGGCCTTGGTTTTTGCTGTGCAAAATTTTGAAAATTTGCAAACTTTTTTCAAAATTTAGATTGCAAAATTATTATGCAAAATCTATAGAACCGATTTTGATGAAATTTGGTGTGATGATTCTACACAACATGAAGTTTTCTTGAGCCAAGTATGAAGGTCCTCTACCCAATTTAAAGACCTCAAGAAAATTCCCTAAAAAGTAATGTTTTTTAACCCCATTTTTGACGATTTTTTCGATTTTTACAATAATAATCATGATTCATTCGATTTGTCATAGTCATATTTTGTAAAAAATTTAATTTCCGTTTTCATTTTCGCCTAAAATCAACTCTTGAAAATATACATATAGAAAATTTTTCATTTCTAGTGATATTTGAAAGCCAAAATGCCAAAAATCTCCGTGAATATACGATTCACACAAATATGGACTTTTGGAACAGATACCGTCTGGACCATAACCCATCTTTATAGCTTGGCTTTTGTCCCACTTAAAGTGGTGTGTAAATTTAATGTTTGTATTACGCGTGTCTCTAATTGATTTGTATCAATTGAATTTCTGTGGTGTTATTAATATTACTGTCTATTATTAATGTCTTCTTGACATATATCGTTCTATTTTTAGTTGTACAACAGATGACCAAAACAAATTTTTTACGATATTTCCTATTTCCCAAATAATGAAAATATTTTAAAAAATCTGGGTTGAAGCTTGAAGACGTAAATATGTATTTAATAATAAAAATGCTTGTTCAAGTCATTTTAAAACTTCAGACTATTTTCGTAAACAGGAGCCACTGAATAATGAATAAAATAGTCGTACCTAGCAAATTTTTGTCAAATAATATGTCAGAAGAAAAACACTGAAAAAGCTGTTTGTACGTAATTATTGTAATATTGAAACTATTTCTTATTTATTAGATACGTACACCAATTAGCATAAACTTTATTAATAGACTACTTATGTCTTGCATGCGCTAACCTAACCGATTTTAATTCACGGGAATATAATACCTTCTAACCTTTGTGCCACGGGTACCACCGGATACAGATGCGAATTTTTCGCTATCAGGAAACCTAAATATACCCAAGAATTCACCAAATATATGGCGTCCTAAGCCTAGGAACTTGGTCCATATTTAGACGACAACGTAACACTTTAAATCTGCCAGTGCCTGGAGGATCGCCCGTGCCTTTTGCTTTGTTTTTATTTAAATTTGACGGAGTACTTAGACAAATGCCAGAAACGCCGCTCTTCGCCGATTTATTTATAACTTCAGTTCATTAACCGTTCCATCCACTTGAGAGGGATCTAGTGTGAATTGGGCAACCACGGCCAGCGAAAAGAAACAGTATCCAGCAAATTAACTGGTTGGTTTATGGAGGAAGTACTCGAGGAAGGGTAGATAGGAACTAATACAGGCCGGAGCTAATACGGGCTTTACCAGACGGTACTATCGGAAGGGGAGATAAAATGAGTTTCAAAGTAAGAGGGTTTACTTACTCGTATTATTGATATTTTTAAAGCAGTCAGTTGAAGAACAATTTAAAAATAACCACTGTTAGAACATAGATATGAGAAGAGAGATATTCTATCAATTTGATAATCCTCTCCCCCACCACCACTACCTTATTTTGCACATTTAAAGAACACTACCGATTTAGTCTGTTTTAACATAATAATCACTTATGTCATCCAGTTGCGAAAAAGTTGTTCCTTCTATTGCTTCTAACATCTTTGCTTAAGGAACAATTTTCTACTAGATTTAGACTTGAAATACAGGATTTTAAAATATGACGATCTGTTATGCAATATTTTTTTTCTGGGATGTACCGTTGAAGAGATATTGGCCTCTGAAGATGAGTGTTCAATTTTGAAAAACAATAATATTTTAGCAATGTCTTAATATAGAGCAACCAAATTTGGTACATTATTTGCTTTTATTATTATCTTTAATTAGTAAAAATATGAATTTCTTGGGAGTTCAATAAGGGCCGAACGAGGGGTAGGGTGCCCTTAAAATTATATCAATTTTTTAATCAGTACGCCAATTATTAAATAGTTTTGTCAGTATTACAGGAAATTTAATTTTTAAATTTTTTTTACTCACAAATTTTTCGAAGAAATAACGGTTTTTGAGAAACTACTAACTAATTGAATCGGACAAAAAGTAAAGTATGCAGTTTTACGACTAGTAGGCTATGATTTCATTTGTCATTTTCGACTTTTACAATAAAGTACCAAGAAAAAGCAATTTCATTAAATTAGATTCTTTAGGTATTTTGTTTTTATCGTATTAAAAAAGATGACCCTTACAAACAAAACATTAACAAACACCTATTTTCAGAGGCCAATATCTCTTCAACGATACATCCCAAAAAAAATGTTACATAACAAATCGGCATATTTTAGGATCCTTTACACGTGCCTGCTCTGTGTCAGTAGAGTTATGAAACACCCTGTATAACTATTAGAAACATTTTAAATTCATTATTGGACATTGGGTTTCCAATAACTTGTCTATGTGGTGACAAATAAAAAGTTTATTGACTTTGGCGATTTACAATTTGTTTATAATGTTAATATTTTTATTACTACTCTTAGTTTTTTAATTTTATATCCCTTTGTTGAGACCTGAAGATGTAGTTTATACTACAAGACTGGTCTTTTTTTTCAAAGACGGTACTTAATACAGACTTTTAAATTGTAACACAAATCCAATTTTCGTACTCGTACACATAACGTTGATTTTAAAGAAATAGAGAATTTAATCAATATACTGCGGTTAATTTTTACAAAGGTAGTGTTTATTATACATTTTTTTGTTACTAAAAGTTCCTATAAACCAGTCTTGCTGATATCAAATATCAAAGACTCACAGAATAGACGAAAATATACCAAATGGTACCTATAGTACCTACTTTATTGTAATTCAGAAGGCATGAGGCCTGTGTGTATTCTATAATCGTCCATTGTTGTCGACAAGAATGAGGCATCTGTACCCAAGCGTAGTAGGCCGTAATAGAACAATATTACTGAGTCGTTTTCAGAAACACATTCATTTTCAAAGAATTTACTGTAACTAAAATATACGTAATTTTATTTAATTAAGTATTACGAAAATATATTAAATTGTTAATTGGATCTATTATCCTTATTTACTTTATAAAATATTTATAATGCACAATAACTTCACGCTGAGGATAAGTACCTATTAGGTTAATAATCTAGTCTATTTTTTGCTAAAACTTAATTAAACCTGCATAATGAAAAGGGACAATGCAGAGCTTTCATAAATGTGGCTTAGACAACCAATATTTCACGGCTGTATCTCTACCAGTATCAAATTTGATACTAAGGCAAGTTGGCCAAAACATAATAGTTCTACGGTTATAGAATTGACTCGTACTTTGTGGTCAGTTATTTATGAAACACCCTGTACATCATAAATTAGACTAGATTGACGTTAATTTATTAGACGAAAAAATTGAATTTTGAGTCTTGCAATTTGTATAAAAAGTAGCCAAAGAAGAAATATCATCCTTTCTCTGTCATTAATCCCATTTGCGTTATAAAAATTCTATTCACTTCTCGATTGATATTTCCGATTAGAACTTTGATTGGCAACGAGATTGGATTCAACAAAAACGGCACTGAAATACGATAGTCGCATCGCGTAGTTATTAAGAGATGAATGTGTGAAGTTTTTTTTTATATTATTTGAAGGGGAACAGTTATAGAGCAAAGCTTTCTATCTATGGCTGAATAAAGATGGATTTCCGTCTTGCAATAGGCAGATATACCTGCCCCATTGGACAAAAGAATCCGGGATAGTGGATCATAATTAGATTTTTCTGTTATTAATGACTTCCATTAGAGGAACTGATAGGATTTCGATGTAGGTCGGAAATTAATTTCGAAAAGGTAAGACGAAGTTTTTTAGCAATCCGTGGAAAAGGAATTCGAGTGGTTATGGCACGTTTATAGAAATGTATAGAAAATATTTGTTGTTGGAAGTTGCATAGAGTGATTTGCGGTACAACTGTATATTAAAATAACACGATAAAAAAAAACTAACCAAGCAATTGTACTAATTGTAGACGAAACTTGTGTGCTTACAATAACATGTTTATTTTGTTCAAATATTTTGTCTCGTTATTAAAAAAAAAACAGTTCTATTCAGATTTGACATTTTTCTAGGCAATATTTTTGTCGAATAACTCAAAAAAGAATATAAAATTTAAGTTCTCAAACGTAATCATAAAATATCGCGAATATAGTTATCTTTTTGCAAAAATTAATAAAAATCACACAGTGACAAAAGCAAGAACCTTATTTTGAAAAATATGGTGACACATACAGCATTAGGTACATTTCTCAAGAAGTAATAACTGTCACAATTATTGATTTTTTTTACAAAATCACCTTTTATTTTAAGAAACTATTTTTAATATTTTTTAGAGAAATAAGTGAATGTACCTGTTTTATTCGAAGTAAATTTTTAACAAGAAAAAAAATTAAACCCTCCAATATTTTTTTCAATGTACAAGTACAGAAAATACATAAAATATGATCTAGTTCTTCTACTAGACATATTTGACCGACTCTTAAGAAATATATTTTAAAACTAATAAAAGCTAAGCTAAGCAAAATGTAGGGTTGACTTACCATTTTAAATCAGGCGGTTCTGCGAGCTTGAGACGAAGACAAATCACTCGATGTCAGCAATGCGGCACCCGTGAGTCAGAATACGATCCTTCTGGCGCGGGCAGCTTTTAAAGAGGAATGGGTCTTGGCAACGCGCATGCTAGGTCTCTGGCTTCGCCTAAAATACATGTCGACGACGTCTGCTATGTACAGGGTGTTCTTAATGGAATTATTCTTTCACAAATGCATTATTTCCAGCATTATTTACTTTCCTTTCCTTCTAGTTTCAACTATTATGCCATCATCAGGGAAAACAATCTACAGTATATAAAAAAAATTTCGCTACTTGAATGTACTAGCAAATGACATTATTATAATTTTCGTTTGGAATCGTGACAAATTGAGGGCAAACAATAAACCTTCCTGAGATTTAGGTGTTCAGTAATCCCAGTTAAAACTTTCCTATCACTTTGGTTAACATAAACAGTTTTTATTGTTTTTTCCAGCCAACTTTAGTGACTAAATCTTAATTTACAATAAGATATCTCGAAGAACTTTCAAGATATCGCGAAAGAATAATATGAGAGCCGTCCATTTTTCTGCCTTAGTGTCCATTTTAAGAAAAAATATATATAAAAGATATCTACATAACATATTATACTCTTTACTATTCCATCTTGATAATATTGAAAAACAATATGATAAATTTATTCCTATTTGTCATAAAACGGAGCTTTGCAAATCATTCACAAAAACCTTAGTATGTTAGTAACAAAGAGACGTAAATCCGCTTTATATTTTGATATCAATTTGAATATATGCGTTATTTTAATTGGTAAAAATGGTGAAGGTACCTACTGATGATACAATCCTTTATAGTTCCTATGGAAAATATGTTGAATATAGATACACACGACCCACATTTAAGTTATAATGGTAAACGAATTATGTAATTAACTCCCTAATAATCTAGATTGTCTCATACTCTTGGTTGTGGGGCGCGTCCAAATATTAAGGATGGGTTCAAATGATTCTTATTATTTAATTTGTTGGATTAGCTGGCATTCAGGAACGTATATGTGGAAAGGCGTGTTATTTTCATTTCTCCTTTTGAACAAATCATGTGAATCCGTGAATATTACCAAAAACGGTCAAAGAATGTTTTATCCACAGTGATTATTAGAAATTTGTATAAAAGAAACTAAAATTTTATTACATATAATTATTTTTTATTACAAGAAACGAGTAAAGTGATTTCATTCAAATTTGGCATACATCTTTAATTTTTAACTATCCACAAAATATACAGCGTGTTCTAGTTAAGGACTATTCTTGTAATTTGTTTATTGGTTGATTTTAATTAGAGAGTTTTTAGGGAAAAGTTACAACACTAAGAGTGACATAGTGATGCTTTAGCATAATTAAGAAGATATTTTTATATACCTAGATATTCATTCATATTTTTCAAGAACGAAATAACACAGTATTTTAGTGTTTTTGGCATACTTATGGTTTGTCCAATGCTCAAGAGTTGAACAATACTCCAGTATATGGCTGGCTTGTTACACAGTGGCTTAAAAAAATCAAATATATTTTTAGACTCGACTGCAAGCTACAGAAATTGATACATTTCTGTTGGCCAGCTTGGGTAGGAATCTTGTGAAATTTGTTTCCCTAAAAATATCCCAAATGGTACTTTTAATTTCGTACTTTTCCCTTTCCAACAAAGATACTTTAAATTGGACTACCGACCCACAAATATGATAGAACAGTAAATGCTTTATAAAAATGTATTTTCGAAATTAGTGGCAAAATTGTATGTTCTCTTATAGTTAATAACACTGACTAACAAGTCTAGTTTTCAGTAATATAAACAAAACTGCAATTTTTATAGTTACTTTACTTAGACCCGAGAACTTCTCTTGACTCAGGTACTTCTAATGTACAGGGTGGGCAAATAAGCGAGGTAAGCGGCTGTATGTCAGAAACTAGTGATCGTAGAGAGCTACGGTAAAAAATTTTATAGGTAAAGTGGGCAAGGGAAAATACTGGAAATTATTTTCAAGTTTCCAAGATGGCCGCCAGTGGGCGTTTCCACCATATTGAATTACATAAAGTTACGTTTCTCACGATTTTCCCCAATGAATGTAACAAAAAAGTATTTGCGTTTTAATGTTAACTTAAAGTCGAACATTTTTTGTAAAAACAATTTTTCTCTATCTTTCGAAATAAAGTGGTGGGGGGTATTTGAATGTTGTTTGAAATAAATGCCTGTAACTTCGAAACGGCTTAATGGATTTGGATAAATTTGGTATCATTGAAAAGAGCATTTCTTGGGCTTTTAGGTTTCTCGTAATCATGACAGTTGCGACCTACACGGCCGCCGATAGAGGGCGTTATTCGATATTATAACCAAAATATTGGATTTTCTCAAAAAATTTAAATGCGATGATATGACTTTTTTTAGACTAGAAAATAGACAAATGACCAACCAATAAGCCTGCGCAAACCGCATCTTAATATCTTTTTCCTAACTCAAATTATTAAAAAAAAATACTAAACCAGGAAAATTCATATATCCCCATTTAAAAATGCATCGGTTGCTTTCGATAAGAAGGCAAGTAGTAGGCCATGGAAATAAAAGACAAACTCCTCTCTAAAATATTCACAAGAAATGTCAGTTTATTTAGTGCTGTGATTTTAAGTCGCACGTTTTCGTATTTATAAGCGATTTTCCTTTTAAATAAAGTTGTGGTCCTGAAAAGGACCGATTTTGAAAAAAGATTAATGCCTTCTGTGTTCAAATTGCCTTCCGTCATATTCCACACATTGTTCCAGTCTTTCTTGAGTCGACAGAACCGCAGCCTCGATTTCTACCGCTGATAGTTGACGAATTGAGTTTCGAATTCTGTTTTCCATATCCATTCGTGTTGTTGGTGGAGTTTGAAAAACAATGTCTTTTAAGCGTCCCCACAAGTAAAAATCAAGACATGTCAAGTCCGGAGATCTTGCCGGCCAAGGAAATAGGCTTCCCCTTCCTATCCAGCGTTCTCGAAAGGTCCCGTTAATATGGTTTCGGACATTAATTGAATAATGTGCCGGACAACCATCTAATTGCAGAAACATAGTTCTCCTAGTTTCGAGTGGCACATCTTCCAACAAAATTGGCAAGTCGTTGATCAAAAACTCTAAGAAGCGGTTACCAGTTAAAGCTTGATCAAAAAAATAAGGTCCAATAATTCTGTCCCCAATGATACCGCACCACACATTTAGGCTCCAGCGTCCCTGGTGCTGCACTTCTCTTAACCAATGCGGATTTTCAGCGGACCAATAATGCATATTATGACGGTTTACTCTACCATCACTACTAAAGGTAGCCTCGTCGGTCCAGAGAATTTCCGTTAAGAAATTTCTGTTTTCCTCAAGCATGCCTAGCATCCATTGACAATAATTTAATCTATTATCGAAATCTTGTTCATTTAGCGCCTGGTGCAAAACTATGTGGTAAGGATGTAATCTAAAAGTAAAAAACAACATATGCGTAAAAATAATATAATCAGAATAACACTGAATTGTGTATTTGAGAGTATGTGCTAAGATACTTGGAATAAGATAAAATTATTTACCTATAATCTTTCAAAATATTTCTAACAGTTGTTCGTGCTATTCCCAAGTCTAGAGACAATGTTCTAGTTCCTACATGTCTATCAAATTCTATGTAAGCCAAGACATTGATAATGTTTTCTTCGGTCCTTCCATTGCGACGCCTGCGACGTTTAGGACGACGAAAACTTCCAGTATCGCGTAATCGCTGTACCAAGCGCGGAAACATTCTTCTCCCGTAATGACGGCGATCTGGATACCGTGCCGCGTACTGTCTTGCAGCTATAGCTGCATTTTGAAAACACTCGAAATAAATCGCAATCATGTCAACGGCTTCATTATTTGTGAGAGGCATTTTGATTAAAAAGTACTCAAATTATACGCAATCAACAATATTAGGCTGCGTGTGACAAAAGTTTGACGTTACTTGGCAATATTTTTGTTAGGCGATTGTCGTGTCCATGGCCTACTACTTGCCTTCTTATCGAAAGCAACCGATGCATTTTTAAATGGGGATATATGAATTTTCCTGGTTTAGTATTTTTTTAAATAATTTGAGTTAGGAAAAAGATATTAAGATGCGGTTTGCGCAGGCTTATTGGTTGGTCATTTGTCTATTTTCTAGTCTAAAAAAAGTCATATCATCGCATTTAAATTTTTTGAGAAAATCCAATATTTTGGTTATAATATCGAATAACGCCCTCTATCGGCGGCCGTGTAGGTCGCAACTGTCATGATTACGAGAAACCTAAAAGCCCAAGAAATGCTCTTTTCAATGATACCAAATTTATCCAAATCCATTAAGCCGTTTCGAAGTTACAGGCATTTATTTCAAACAACATTCAAATACCCCCCACCACTTTATTTCGAAAGATAGAGAAAAATTGTTTTTACAAAAAATGTTCGACTTTAAGTTAACATTAAAACGCAAATACTTTTTTGTTACATTCATTGGGGAAAATCGTGAGAAACGTAACTTTATGTAATTCAATATGGTGGAAACGCCCACTGGCGGCCATCTTGGAAACTTGAAAATAATTTCCAGCATTTTCCCTTGCCCACTTTACCTATAAAATTTTTTACCGTAGCTCTCTACGATCACTAGTTTCTGAGATACAGCCGCTTACCTCGCTTATTTGCCCACCCTGTACATTATGTCACTTTTGTTTGTCCTGAAAAAGTTCTTATAACTACAACAGACCACACAATTATGGTACATAAAAAAACCTGTTAAAAGCTATGGGCAAAAGAGTGGTGGTCTTAAGTACCTAAAAACAGACTTTTCACAATTTATGACGAGCTTATAAAAAGGTCCTGGTCCTATAACTTAACCATAGTCTTTGCCCTAAGTCCTAAGTTAAACCTACAGACTTTGTATCTGCATGTTCATAAAAATCATAACCTAGTCTTATTGTTAGTCCTAAGGACTTTGAAAGTTCCTATCTTGTAAGTTCTTAGGAGCAAGACTAACACCATCACAAGTACGCATGCGCTAAAGTGTCATTGGATGGCCAGTTCTTAAAATTAGATTAAGACCATGTTAAGACAGGATCAAATTTTTATAAACCAAACAAATATGATTGGGATTAAGAGTAATAGTTATTATGAGGCTTTAAAATATAATTTTGGACAACTTGTCTGAATATTTTCTATAAGTTAGTTTAAGGTATACAATAACAAAAGCGACAGTAATTTTTTTCAACTGACTTCATTTGATAGATTTTTTAGGAAAGAATTTTTTGAGTTTATTTCAATTATTTCAAGTGCCTATCTAATCGTCTTCTCCATAAATGCATAAATTCAAAATTCAGTACAAAGAATTTAGGGTCATATTTTTGAGGTCAAAATAAGACTTTTTTCCTATAAACGTGAGTTCAAAATAAATTTTAAAATTTTCAACCGTAAATAGTTATAAAATTTGAAAATATGGTCTCTTCATTAGCGAATATTTCGGAAACGGTTGGTCTGAGATTTCGACCGCCATTATTCCATGGCTAGAAATTGGCCTCAATGATTTGGGATCGAGGGGGATTATCCCTCTTTATCCTGCCTCATCTCGTGTAGGCCTGGACAGCCTTCGTAGGTGGGCCCCATCCGTCGTCTACCCCGACCGCAAATGCGGCCGGTGTAGGCGCTTTGTGGGACCTCCTTTTGTCCTGGCTGGGCCCCGCCGGCTAGGGCCCTTTCTTCTGGTGCTCTTCTTGCTTCGCCGGCTCGTCTGTGTAAACCCCGGGGGTAGTGTCATGTTTATGTGTGGTATGGTTGGGTAGGGTAGTGCGGCTATGCAGCCTGGGATGCGCTTTGCTAAGGTGGCCCTTAGGCTAGCGCGGTAGGGGAGGGGTAAGGAGGGTATGGGGGGTGTGTATGTGTGTGTGTGTGTGTGTGTCGTTGTCTTCGTTTCTTGATCCTGGCTGTCTCTGAAACAGAAAAGGTTAGCGGGCAGGGGGGGGGGGTCATTGGGGTGGTCACCCAGGGTCAAAAAGTTGGTGTCTAGGTCTTTTGTGTTTGTCGGTCACGTCGGGTACGTAGTCAACGGCTTGCCTGAGGAGGGGATTGTCATGTCTAGCGGCTACGTCAAATCGTTTCTCCGCGTTTTGTCTTATTGTCTGTGTAGCGTTTGTGTATTGTAAGTCTCGTAATATGTCAGTGTTTCTTACGTACCAGGGCGCGTCGGTGGCCGTGCGGAGGGCTATGTTTTCCACAGCCTGTAATGACTTTAAGTGGCTTTTTGCCGCGTGACCCCACGCCGTGGGAGATTTCGACCGAGTATACCTTTTTTGCTTGGAATTGATAGGGGGAATAAACGTACTAATACGAAACGTCAATGTACAGGGTAGGAAAAAAGTTAGGGCCTATTTCTCTCAAGCGTACCCTTATAGGTGGCACCCTCTACAAGCAGCGTCAAAAGCAATGATATATTTAAATTTACCATCCTAAATAAACCCCGTACCCCAAGTTTTATATGTATACATTCAAATCTAGTTGGAAATTATTCCTAAAAAATTGAAAAAAACTAAAAAACTTTGACATTCTGCATATCGAAAACTAAGCATTTGTGGACACACGTTTATAGAAAAAAATTCTTATTTTAACCTCAAAAATACGCTACTAAATTCTTTGAACTGATCACCCTGTATATGTAGTTCCCCTTAATAATTTTGTATTATTCAGTTTTTTCTGAAACGTGTGCAAAATTTTTTCATTCCAATATACAGGGTGTCCCGAAATCCATGCAACAAAATTTGGTCACAGATTCTTAAGACAAATTTAGGGGACCCGTATTTTTTATTTTTGCCAAGTGGCCCCCTGTTTCGGAGTTAAATATAATAGTCCAGGAAAATAATTTTTTGATAATGAATCTAGTCTTGCAGTTTCTGTATTTAAAGTGAAATCACCCTGTATATGTCTATATCTCAAAACGCTGTATGTTGCTGGTGATTGTGTGTGTGTGACATGTTTTTTGACCTCAAAACCTACATTTTTCTATAAAAAAATCTGAGTAAAAAAGTTCGCTTATTCCTTCTTTCTACGTATAATTTTCCTGAAGTATAAAAAGTAAATAATTTCACACATAATTCTAGATTGGCATAATAATTTATTTATTATATGTAATTATACAAAAATTACAGAGTAAATGCATATATTTTTTTTCAATATTCTAACAATGGTCAGATCTTACAATTGTATAAAGAAAATCTAAAATTTAAAAAAATATATAATATAAAATATCTACAAATTACATCATAAAATTATCACATTTAAAATATACACATCAAAATTATTATTATTAAATGATTTATTTATTGCTTAAAAATATTTGAAAATAGAATATAGGTATAATGAATTCACCTCAATAAATATTACAATTAAGAATCTACTTTATATTTATTGATATTACATCTACTGACAAATATTGAAATAACAAATTTCAAAATTTATCAGTTTTTTCACTTTTTCTTTAATTAATTTTTCCCTCTATTAAGTACCTACCACTTACCTTAATAATTTAGTTTAATAATATAAAAATAAATTTAAAAGTTAGTCTTCCGGATCCCACCTAACAACATAACACCTAAAATCTTGTAAGCTGCCATTAGCAATAGTATCTTTAACCCATTCAATAGAAATATGTTTCGCGCTGTTTGGGCACTGTATGATTGGCTGTCGGATAATATTATAGTAATGAAGAACGTGTGTGGCCTCTTCCCAGCGGTCTGGATTTACCACTTCCCCTCCATAAGCAATAAAATACCTAAAAACCAAGTCGAATGATAATATTATAAGCATTGTCGGGGTTTTTAAATCTACCTTACTAGCTCTGCATGTGCCTCGTCGTTCAACTCGTCCTCAAGCAAAGCTCTCACTCCTGTAAAGTAATCTGGTATAGGTTGTTTGATATCAACATTAGTTTCACCATTGCTCATTTTGCTTTCGGTAGATCCTGAAGCAGAGGTACTGTTAGAATCAGACTGGTCATCTCTTTTTTCTTCCATATCAACATCCTGATCAATTGGGTCATTGATCTTAATTTTCTTCGAAGATGAAGAATCTTTACTATTGCTATTTTCAGGTTTTTCCTTCTTCATGTAGCTGTGAATGTCTTTCTTCCTTTTCTTTGGCGATGGCCCTTCATCAGCTTTAGAGTTATCTCCAGCTTTAATACCCTTCATCAAAAGGCTCACATCAGTTTCCTCTTTAGAAGTCGTGAAAAGTTTCTGCAATTCTTGCAGATTCGTGGCCGATTTCCAGTCTTTATCGTCCCTAATCCTTGTAACTCTTGGAAACCTGATAGAAATTCCATCCGCCGTATGAACATCGTGCTGTGTGAACTCTGCTCCCGTGATTTCCCATACAGGTTGATTTTTAGGGTCTCTAGCGACAAAATCCGGCACCATCGTCTTGGTGCAATTTAACCAACCTGGCACTTTTGACATGTCCTGACTGATTTTTACCATGTCAAGTTCCGTTTGTAATTTCTCAAGAGTTTTATCGTCATGACCAGTGTGGACTTTGGTAACGGTGCAGAATTTTTTATTGTTCGGATTGTAGCAACCCATCAAGAAAACGGACATCATTCCTCCTTTCTTGCCTGTTCCATACCAAGCCCCTAAAACGATTAAATCTGCTGTATCCGCCATCGCCCCACCGAAGAGGTAGTCCTTTTTCACCTTCAACCAGTGCCTTTTACCAGGTTCGTATATACTTTTCATGTCTTTCAACACCAGACCTTCTAAGCCTAATTTAAGGACTTTCGCTATCATTGAGGCTAGTTCTTCAGGCTGATTTATTTCTTGCTGTTCCGAAAACACCACACGATTAGGAATCTCGATCATATTCTCTTCCAAAATCTTCTTCCTGTGACTTATAGGTTTGTTTATAAGGGACTCTCCGTTATAAAATATACAGTCGAAAACAAACAAACAGACAGTTGCGTCTTTGAATTCCGCTTTCTTGTGCACTCCTAGAGACCCAAAAGGCAAAGGTTTGCTCGTTTTGGTGTCTATCATTAGAATTTCACTGTCAAGAATTAAATCTTTGGCGTGCGGGAAAGCTTGGGGTATATATTCCTTGAAATGTTGAATTTTATGTGGCAGTACTGGTTTTAAATGTCTGGAAAAATACTTAAATTCCAAACCGTGTTTATGAACCTGCACTCTCTCCCCATCGTATTTAATTTCTGAGTACATTCCGTTTGGGCACTTCTTCATAGCTTGCTCTACGGATTTGCAGGCTTCTGCAAGCATAGGTAAGACAGGCGTCATCAAAGAAATTTCTGCCTTTACTATTTTATGCGACTTCTTCCCTTTATTTTTCTTATCGAAGCATTTAGAAATAACTGCATCTATATCCCTAGAAGCTTGATAAGCTTCATAAGCATCAGGATGAACACCATCCAGGATGTGTTTGGCTCCTGCGCCCATTCTTAAGTCACCTTTTATCAGTCTAATTACAGTCTTCAGGTCGTTGGATGTACACACAGATACAAATTTCTTAAAATGTTCCATCTGATCATCTTCTTTGGTTAATTTCGACAATTTATCTAGGAAATGATCTACTTCTTTTACTGTCAAAGTGCTTTTCTTAGCAGGTTTGGTTTTATGACTCTCTTCGAAGAATTTTTGAATAGTTTCACCTATATCGCCCTGTTCCAAATGTTCTAACATGTCATTCTGATCGGTAACAAATATTTTACTGAATAGTTTTATTAATTGTTTACTTTGTAAGTTATAAACTCTTTTAATAACACCAGGAAGGAGCAAACGGCACCAGAGAACAATATCGTCTTTAAATCCAGACCCGTTGCAGCCTTCTGTAAATAATTTCTTGACGCAGTTTGTTTTGTCAAGATATCCTGGAACATTTGTAATATCTGCAACTAATCTTCTAAATTCTTTAAATTGGCAATCTTTAATTTTGTCTGAAGCAGAACTGCTAGAAGATGAATTGCTTAATTTGTCTTCTTTATTTTCTGAAGATTTTTCAGTTTTATATGTTTTAGGCTCAACTTTGGGACTCTTCGCTTTGGGAGGTGTTTTTGGTTTATTAGGAGGCTTCAACTTAGCAGTGCCAAACTTAGCATGAAAGGCAGCATCACACTTTTTAATCCTATCTAAAATATCCTTTTTTTCATCCTCGTCTAGATCATCCCAACCATCTACATCATCAGGCTCTTCAATTCTCTTTGTAGTTTGTCGTTGCTTTAAGAACTGTTCAAACAAGCAATTAATATGATGCCAAGCTTTCATTTTCCCTGCTGCAAACGGATTGGGAACTAATTTTGCTATTCTCAACTCGCCCTGCAGACATTTTTGTTTACATTTTTTACACACTGCCCGTCCTTGTTTTGCTACTTCTATTGCAAATGGCTTTTCCTCCACGTGATCTTCTTCGTCTGAGGACATTTATGCAGTTTTAATTTCCGCAATTTCAAGATTTTTAAATTGTGTTAACTTAGGTTATTTTCAGGTTTTAACTTGAACTTTTGGATGTATAATTCCCATAAATGCAATTAAAGAATTATAAAAAAAATATGTACCAACAAAAATACAGTTATTTCCTTCATAAATACATCGTGTTAGGATTTTTTCCAGATCTACCTAAATCTGGAACCAAAATTTTAGGTTACAACATGTTACACAATTTTGGCTTTTTGACAGTAAATGACAGGCCACAAACATTTATAGATATGTAATATTTTGCATTTCATAGAGCCATTCATAGAAAAATAAACTCTAGCGAACTCGAACAAAAATGATTATGTATGTAGATATTTTTATAAAAGTGATTTTGTTATAGAAACGTGCTTGTGGTATTAATGGTTTCTACCACTGTAATAGTATTTAGTATCTTTGTTTAGGTACTTAAGATTTCAGTCAACCTCATCTAACTGACCTATCAGCATTCAGAATTACTGAGATTTGCTGAGATCACAAGTAAATGAAACACGCCTAGTATGTGTGAAAGGAAAGGCGAAAATTTAATTTGCATGGTCTCATTTGCGTTGACTGAAATATTTCAGTTAACGTCAGTCTCCCTGGTCATTTCGTTGACTGAAATATGTAGAAACGTCATTTGAAAGAACAAGTTTTCTGTAATTAAAATTTCATGTTGACTAGAGAGAATACTTTTCTATAATCGAATTTCATTCCGTGGATTATATTTGTCAACGTTCATTCACAACTACAGATGTCGCTCGTATGTGAAAAATTAATTTGACTGAACTGTGAGATTGCGCTGTTCGAATTATACTGGGGCCAATTGTAAAATTTCGCGCAGTCCCTAACCGGCGCAGTCCTGTCTGGCGGCGGTGGCTGTGTTGGTGTAGTAGGAAGTGTACAGAATCAGCTGTCACCGATCTGCGGGATCTAAAAATGTTTACGCTCGCTCCCCGGTCTCTAATGTGAGTAACTTTTATTATTATTTGAGCGTTTTTAAACTTACTAAAATGTTCTTTTACCATCCTTGGATCTACTTAATTAATATGTGGAATTTATTTTTCCGCCTGTGAATGTGGATCAATACAAATAAGAGCCGTCTGCCAATTCAAAAAAGAACATTGTAGAATGGTTACGTACATACGAATTTTATGTAAATAATACTTTGTTAAATCAAATTATGGTCAAATTATTCAGGATAGTATTTTTAAAAGATCGCTGTTAGGGTTAAATCATTCATACTCGTCTATTTTTCTACAAATTTAATTATATTTGAATGGTCCAACAGCTTAATTTTGTGTAACTGACATTTTTGGACTTTTTGCCAAGAATATATGCAATAAATTTGTTCAACGTTCATTGTTAAATTTAGAATCGTAGGTATAGTTGCAAGTTGCATTCTATATCTCGGAAAAATGCGGGTAGAAACGGTAAAATATTACAAATTACTTTTGGATATCACTATACGATTTAAGGTGTAGATAATGTATATTGCAAATTATAAAATAAATTCCCTTTACCGGAAAAGAGCCTTATCCTTGATAATTACATGGGTTGGGGTTTTCTAACCTTGAATCAGCGATTCATAAAATCATTGGCGTGCAGTGGGAATTTGAGCTAGGAAAGTGACTGTTAGAAATAAGGTGGTCATAAAATAAAATCATCACGAATGTGATCACCGATGAATTAAAATCGAAATATCGAAATCACCCGTTTATACATGTATTGAAACATTACATGTAGGTAACTTCCCGTTAGCTTATTGTGCTAAATTGCACCATGTGCAAGATATTTTAATGACAACACATCATCCGTCACCGCTAATAGCCGCACAAGCCATGTTTCGTTCACACATTACTAATATCAGCTGGTTTTTTCCTACTGTTGCCCCTCTCTGAGAACAGATTTGGCGGTTCGTTAATACATACTGATGCTAATATACCTAGGTTCAAAATGTTCTAGATGATTTTTAATTGTTTTTGTGTTCAGAGGATGAATAATGTATCGTATATCGCATTAAGTATAGCAAGAATCGAATAGGTCTTACTTTTTCACATATAAGAATAAAATTACTTTTGCTTGGTTGTAGTGAAATTGTTATTGATCAATGATATAAACTCAAGGTATAGCCCATAAATTGGCAGCGTCAGCGACAGATAAATATCCGTTCTGCACTGGAATAAATAAAATTATGTGTCGTTTTATTTTTACACATCGCAGTTATTATAAATAGCCATGCAAAATATTTATCGGTGCAGTTAAAATTTGCCATGAGTTGCCTAATTTTCAAGTAGGTATGCAAATTGCGGGAAAAATAAAAAGGTATTATTGTACTCTTATCAATTATTATAGGTTCGTTAAGATAAATTTCTTAAGTACTTTTCTTGGCAAGTGTCATTTGTTTGATTAACTTTTTTGTGTCCATAGTGTTCACACAAGTGGAATCTCACATTTTGGGCAAACATTGTGAACTCTCAAAATTCTTGTTTAAGCTTTTATCATTGACACAAATAGTATAGCTACTTATGTTGTTCGTTTTAATGGCAATCTGATTTTTTAATATTTCAAGCGTATCAAGGCAAATTTCAATTGTTTCAAGATTTGATGTATCACTGTGTATAGTCGGCCGACGTCGTAGGTTATTGCCACGCAAGCAATATATTTGGGATTAATTTGGTTGTGTACAAAGTCTGATGCCAAAAACGACACCACAGTGAGTTTCATAAATTTTTTTAGGCTGTTCCGATTTTAACTTGGACATTGGCCAGCCGATCAAAAATTTTGCTGTTTTGTGAAGAAGCTATGGTCACCAAAAGGACTGCCACAAATTAATATTTTATTCACTACGGACAGACCCTGAGAGACGTGTAATCAAATCAGCTGTAGAGTAAATAAGTCTATAAATATCATGTGTTTTTATTTTGTTTTGCTAAACTTTCGGATTTCAATGTTGTCTGTGTTGTTTTATTATTACATACATTGAAAATATCTTGGTTTCTGTCGCAACGCTAAACCAGTGCCTGATTTACAGTGGTGGGGGCCTGTAGGCTGAAAATTGGTGGGGGCCTATTCTAGAAAAAAAAAATCCTTTTTGGTAGCCCCCCCCACAAAAAATTTGAATTAAATAAAAGTAAATTTTAACCCACTTTCCCTAGGGACACAAGATGTATAACTAGAAATAAAGAATTAAAAGCCACTTACCCTTGGGGTAAGTTGTTTTAAATAGTAAATTGTGGGAGTCGTAATTGGCTTAAAAAAAATTATTACTGGTAAAATAAAAAAAAAACACTATTAACATAAACACGTTATTTTAAAACCAGTTTCCCAGAGGGACGCAAGGTTCAAAAAAGCTTTAATTTTGCTACCCACATGATAAATAAATTTAAAAAACTTAATAAAGAATAACGTGCAATCTTCATGCTACAATTAAGATATCATAGTATAATACTTTATTGATTATTGATACGATTAAATAACAACTTTTCTAGCTTTTATTGTAGCAAATTATTCTATAATGTCTGTAGTGTCTTGTTCATGATGGGAAGGTCTTAAAAACAATTAGTTTTCATAAAAAGAAATTTTGTTGACATGCTGGGGGCCCCTAGTTGGCGGGAGCCTGGAGGCTGCAGCCTACACCAGCCTGTAGGTAAATCAGGCACTGGCTGAAACAATCTGTAACAGACTTGCTCAAACCTATGATCTCTATACATATAGACCAAGCAAATTAAATTTTTACTCGAAAAAATTCCTATCCGCGAAATTATTGTAAAAGTGTATAAAGAAACATAATACAAAACATCTCAGGGCTATTCTACGAATTCGTAAATATGCCTATTGTTATTTTTTCGTCGAGCTATTCCAGTTTAAAAAAAATAAGTTTCTACGATGAATAGAAGCCGAGATATTGCAAAATTTACAGCGCGCATCAATTTGAACTTGGACGAGCTTCCACCACCACCACGCCGCCGGCCGCCGGACAGTTTACTTAGCGAGTACCTTCTCTTTAAAAGGCTCGTGAGTCGTTAATTTTCCACATTTTTCAATGCAATTCACAGGAAATCGTAGTTTATGTCGTAAACTGTATTTTGCGAAAAATTCAAGTCTTAATATTTATAAACAATTCCGCTACGATTTAAAAAAAATTCTAATCTTGGCTCCTGCTGGTCGTAGAGGGTACTTTTTTATTTTAAAAATGTATTTTTTTGCCAGCTAGGTATCCATTGCACCTATTTTCGGTCAGATAGCATAAATAGCAACAATGTTATTCAAATTGTTAAGCGAAAAACGCACGGTTTTTTAATGCACAATTTGAGAATGTTAATGTCAAAAAAACGGTGATATTTTTTAATAGGTCGCTTAATTGCGTCTTTAAGATTACAATGACGCTTTCAGAATCATGTTTGGTTGAAAATTAACGCCTGTACAGAGGCTTAAAGTTCATAACTTTTGGAATTGTGCGAAAACTATTGCACCTACAGCGTCCACCTTTGGCGCACTTTTGAAGTATGACAAAACCCTCAACTTGTCATAGGTTTTATAAAATTTTAACAATAAATGCGATAGTTATAAACAAATTAAAAAATGGGCACTTTTTTGTTTTTTTGCAATAACTTTTTTTGTTTATTAACCGATTTTAATTTAGCAAGTCTCATTTTGTAGATAATTTTACTCCCTACAAGCTGTCTGAGAGTCACTTTTCGCTAAAATTGATGGTTTTCCCTGCAAAGTGAAAAAACAGTTTTCCTCACTTATTTGTTTAAATAGAAAAGTTAGCTATTAAAAGTTTTTGACTCACGAGATGAGAGATGTCTTGTATTATGTTCCTTTAGACAATTTTACAATAATCTCGCGGATAGGACTTTTTTCGAGTTTCTCTTTTATTTTCGCTAATTTTCCTGGTGTAATAATGTTTTTATATCTTTTGAATGGGAGGAGATATCGAAAATCTTCCTTAATAACAATTGTTAAGAAAAAAGAAGACTCGTATGAAGGAAGCAAAACATATATGACAGTGGAAAAATAATTTTGATACGTGACGGTTCTTTTGGCGTTAAATTTACCAAAATGGAATTTTAAGTAAAATACCTTCAACATCGCATTGTCCACGCTTGCGGTTTCCTATTTGCTCTTTCCATTTTTCTGTAATGGCGGACAACCATCAGTTCTGGGTCACTGCGTATTATTTTCAAGAGGTCTACGAGTACAATCTATGAGAAGTATTGAATGGTGCAGTTTTAATAGCAAGTTAAAAAAAGAACAACAGAAAAATGATAATAACTATATGCAAATTTCTGTTAGCTGTCTATCTTTTCTCTGTAGATTCTCGCTTGAATTCAAGAACCTGGAAACCACTTTGTCCAACGTGACTAGCTGGTATGGTGTCGACAACCTATTGAAATTTGTGTCACGCTCTGCCTCTGTAATCAATCATTACGTTATATAATTCTTGGAATAACGATGTGCCCGTAAAGCGACCTTACTTGACGGTGAAACCATTACTTGAAACCACATTTAAATTATCAATGAGAAATCCTCAAATTAACTCTATCTGGTTCTGGAAAAGTTGCTTCATTGTGACGGATACTTTTTATGATGTTATCGCAGCTTCATTAATACATGACTTATTGTTTATACTAGTTATTAAGTGCATATTTGTGTACGTGTAATCGTTACGTTAAATAGTAATGATGATAAGTAGTACGTATAAGTTACAGGGGCGGCTTTAAAAAATTGGTGGCTGTAATCGGTGGCGCGATGTTCATTGACCAAATTGTCAGATTTTTTAATTTAAAGTTTTGGCTATGTTGAAAGTTACAGACTTTTCTTAGAATTTTCACTTTTGCCCTAAATTAGCAGTATAGTGGTCCCCCACAATATGCGTTTGCACATAAAGAAATGAGCGGTATTTTGTCACTGAATACTACTCTGTAATGAAAATATATTTGTATTTGATTTAAAAAATAATAATTCAAACCGATTGCCATTGTTATCATCTTGAGACGTACCAGACTATGGAATGTTATTACAGAAAACTTCTTATTTAATGAGACAGGACAGTGATACGACATTTTAGTTGAACTTCCTATTAATAGTTGGCGTAATTAAGGTATGGTCCCCAATGTTATATTCCCCGTTCTTTCTTATTTTCGAAAATAATAAACAGTATGTATATATAAAAATTGAAGAAACTTTGATTTTCTTCAAAAACTAAGTTGCGAAAAACAATTGAGTATCAGGTTACAGAGATCTGGAAACTAATCCTGTATATTTTCATTTATTCGGGTGAAAGTATACATTGTGATGTAAAACTTGTGTCTAGCTCTAATAATAAGGGTAACACGCTCAAGACATTTGTTAAGTAAATATATAATTGGTTAATTGTAGGTGACATATAACCTATAAAATAATTATATTATCATAAACGTTCAATCAATGCCTACTAGCACAAAACATTGCATTATTAGCAACGACATTTAAGATATGACATATTTTGTAGGTTACATGTCACTGACATTTAGATTTTCCAATAGTTAAAGCATTCGTCGGTCTTCGTACCTGCGACATACTGAAATTACTCAAATATTTCAAAAATTTTGTAATTCAACCCTATACACAAAAAAAGTATCGATTTCAAATAACAACAAAAAATGGTATGGTGTCATTTAAAAAAAAAACAAAATTTGTTGTCATGGCAACGAAATTACTGGCTCCAAAGCAAACTCAAGTTTACAAAAAGGTGCAAAAATCTAATGAAAAAACCGAGTAAAAAATTTTTATCTGTACTTTTTTATACAGTGTTCTTAAAAAGTTATAAACAATTTTTGTATACAGGGTGTTTTTAGAGTTTCTAACGAATTCGAATTCCGCAAAATACAAGAGCTTTATATTAAATTAATGTAAATTGTTTGTTTGTTGCAAATGTTCAAATATCTCCTGAGCGAAACAAATTAATTTTAGATTAATTTCGTCAGTTCTCCAGCGTTTCACGTCGAGTTCTCGCTGACGGTAATGGCTATCGATTATTTCTATAAAAAGAGTTATACCTTTGTCAATTAGGTGTAGCAAGCGCGATTTTATCCCACGACAATAAAACTTACCTTGGACGGCGCTCGCATCATTTGGCTCTGGATCAGCTTCGATCCTGCCCAAAATAAAACATTCATTATATAAAAATGTTATCTAAAATAGCTGCTAAGGGTTTTCACCGTTGCGTTGTTGCGTGTCCGAGTTATCTTTGTTTACGTTACGCTTATGAAGATTTTCCGTCTCATCACGAATTGGTTTATAAACGCATGGAATGTTTCGGCGGCAGTAGCCCTGAATTTCAGTATACATATATTGGTTTGGGTCCATAGTTCATTCAAAATTAAGTTTATGTGGCGGGAGAAGCAAATAAGAGGGTCAGGTGTCGCTGCAAGCCTACTTGATAATGGTGTGCAAGTTATTGAAAAATATTTTGGAGGAGTCTTGCAATTTTGACCTCCGCCACTGATCGAATAATTTGACGAGCAATAAAGAAAGTATGTAGTATGGAATTAGAAATATCTAAAGATAGGGTCTTGTTTAGTTTAGGCTGTTGATTTAATTGCATGAAGTGTGAATGTTGTTAGAATAAGACAGCAAAGAGAACTATTTAAAATAAGTTTTTTTAGTATCACCGAAATTTCATAATGTTTCCTTTTAGACCAACTACGTGCATAAAGGCAGCTTTTATTCATTCATTATTTGTCCATTCTGAGAAACCAACTGTAGAGACAATAAAATAAAGAGTTGGTTGTTTACATTTTCTGTCACGGCTACCTGAACAAGTAATCGAGGTTTGCTATCGTTTTTGCAAATTTTGTTTAAAATAAATCAAATCATCTATTCCTGTCAGATGCAGTCAATTGTAAGGTAATCTGCCGCTGTCACTGTTAAGATGAAGTCCGCCGTCCGATTCTCTCGACGCGGCGCAGCGAGGCCTAGGTCAGGTTGTTATGAAAACAGTTTGAGAAGAAATAAACTATGTTGAACTAAAGGGAACTGTTGTATCAGCAAGTGTCGCATATTAGTGAAAAGATTATTAGATATTTGACCGTAGCCACGGCAGGAGGGTTTGTAATGAAATAATAATAGTAAAATAATATTTTTTTGTAAAAGTTGAGTTTTTGTCCTTACACAATACTGACAGATAGTTATTACTTATTAAGATTGCTGTTCAAACTTCAATTATGGGTGAACTAGGTGAACATGAAAGAATTCAGTTGTTGATGATGGTTGGTTTTGTAGACAGGAAGAGATCTCTGCAAGAAGCATGCAATATTTTTAATACAACTTTCCCTGAAAGAAATTCCCATATTTCAAAATCAACAACCACTGATTGTGAAAAAGTTGCATGAATAGGAAGTGTTACAAATCTTACAAAATCCAGCGCACGTAAATCAGCTACAAATGAAGATAAGTCACTAGATGTCTTCTCAATCTACAAGAAGAACCAAAAACTTCAGTGCCTCAAGTAGCCTTTTATCACAATATTAGTGAGAGATCAGTAAGGAGGATTTTGTCCAAAAATAAAATTCATCCGTATAAAGTACATTACAGGAATTAAGGGAGGATGACCCCAATAGATGAATGCAAATTTGTGAGGAAATGTTGAACAACATTGAGAATAATGGAAATCAATCGATATTCTGCTTGAACGGTTTTTGTAAATCGACATAACTGTCGTTACTGGAGTGATCAAAATCCACATTGAATAGAAGAAAATCACACTCAATATCCTCAGAAATTAAATGTATGGATGGGCATAATCAGAGGACATTCTTTCGTAGAGAAAATTTGAATTCTAATCGCTATTTACAACTTTTGCGCGAGAAAATTGTTCCAGCATTAATTCGTTTATTTCCAAACCAGCAAATCCTGAATTACTCTCAAATGACATTTGCTACCAACAAGACAGATAGGGCGAAAAGGATATATTGAATGGCCACCGCGATCGCCAGATTTATGTCCTGTAGACTATTTTCTTTGAGTCATTTAAAATTTGTTGTCTACAAGACCAAACCTCAGTCGTTAGAAGAATTAGAAGATCTAATTAGGATGGCCGTTCAAGAAATATTACAACATGCTATTCAAAATTCCTTACGAACTTTCGTTAATCGATTAGGATATTGCCAGGCTGCCAGGTCGCCAGATTAAACATTTAATATGAATCTTTCTTAATATTCAAGTGCTCCATATTTTGCAATGATTTTAATTTCCATTAAATAAAATTTTTACTCTACTTTATTTATTTCATCGACAAAAACCTGTCTTTCCAATAATGTTAAAATCCTAAAAAAACCGCCGACAACGCCGTATCTGTAAAAATAAAGTAGATGTTGGAAATTAAAGTACATACGTCACTTGAAAAGAATAAAAGTAATGCAAAAACTTTTGTTAAAGGTATTTTTTAATCAAGCTTATGATTCACCCTGTACACAGTTATTCCGACACATTTGCCCTACCCTGTATATCCCTTATACCTTTTTCTTTGAATATTCAATTATTTACTTGTCTCTAAATATATAAGACAAACTGACTATTGACCTATATTAGTTCAAGACGGTCTATTTTTATAAATAAAACGAATCCATATATTTTCTTGTCAAAAAAAAACATCACGTTCAGTAACCCGATATATGAAGAGAATTCGTGACATATTTAATGACATTGCTACTATGACCTTGCAAAGCAATATAATGAGGCATGTAATGACAATTATTACATAATTTGTTTTTCGCACAGCGTCACACACATGTAAATGATATTTTTCGTTTAAATGATCTGTTTCTGTATGACGTTTTTATTATCAGTTCCTTACAGTCATAATAATAATACCTTTATCTAACAATAAGTCAGGAAAATCTCTGTTTGAAGAGAAATGTACTTGTAATTTTTGTTTTTCTTCAGTGGATACCAATTTATCATGACGGTGATTTTGAAATCGTTTGGAACATTTTAATTTTTGTTTTTATATGCTAAAATATTTTTGTTGGTTTAATCGTAAAACTATACCATAGTAATTAACATGTGGGTGAATCTGGAAACGGAAAGTCCCATTACGTTAAAATTATACGTCATTAAAAATTGTTTGAAGCTTTACGCATACACTGATAGTACGATTTGAATACTATTTCATATCATTATCGCTTGATTCTACTAAAACTTACCTAATATCTAATCTGATAAACGTGTCATAAAACTCTCCAAAGTTAAAGACCCTATCGATAACAATTCTCGCTAACATTCTGCAATTTACTAGATTAATAATTATACTTTTTACACCATTTGCGTGCACCAATTAGAATTACTATTAAACTCATTTATTATGTAATCCATTGACAATTCATTTCTATGCTAGTAACTGAACTCAAGTCGACTCACATAGTCGTGCTCTTACATCTATGAACGTACTTTACATAATATGTTATTTTTTGCAGATCTCGATCGGCCATAGCCGGTCAGAAGGGTATATTATCAGAAACCATTCGTGTCCTAAAGGCGGATGACACCTCTAAGAGGACCGTCACCGGTGACATAATTTCTCCCTCTCAAGTAATGGGTATTGACCACCTAAGAGATCCGAGGCTAAACAAGGTAGGCAAATGTATGTAATTTTTATGTATACCTTCCATAAATTTACGACAGCGTTTTATTTATGCCACTGTATATAAAAATTCCCCTGCCGCCACATTTTTATTCTCGCTACGAATGTTTTAAGCTTTATGGTTTATTGGTCACTATCAGAAATAATTAAGTCATTTTTAAGGGGATTTTGATACTTATTTATAACCATTAACTCAGTGTTTTGGGAGATGCAACAATTACAGTGTATTATAGTCCACAGTACAGGCCCCCCTGGAAAGTTGATTACCACATACTTTATAACTCCCGAGGAGCATCCTTTTATCGAGTCTACCACATTTTTTCTCTGCGACTTTTCTCGATTCCTCCGCTTTTGTACTCGGAAAAGTCCAAAAACATGGCAATTTCCCGGGGTCTTGAAAAGTCAAGACCACATCTTTTATTTTTAGCTTAATTAACTGGAAATATTGTTGCAAATGCCGATTTAAATTTGTCCGACAGAAATTCTTCCGACATTGACGTGTGTGTCTACCGGTCGAAACATGCCAAAATAACAGGGTATTGAAAATCAATTACCACATAGGTAATTTTTAGTAAAATTAATTGTAAATAATTAATTCAGTCAAAAAGTATTGTTGTCCGACAAATTTCAAGCCGCGTTTTTTCAGTCTGACAGCTGGAAATCGGAATTTTCACGGGGTATGATAAATCGATTACCACATGTCGGACAAAACTAACACACGATAGAAAAGTGTTTTTTATAAGCAAACATTGTAATGTCCGACAAAAAATGATGAAAAAAATGTCGTAAAAAATGTGCACATGTATTTATAACTTCTAATAAGGTATTTTTATGTATTAAGCAAAATTCCATATAAATATACAATACAGGGTGTTTCATAAAGACCTCCCGTAAATACAGGGGGTGAGGACGACAAAAAATAAGATTTTTTGTCATATGAACTATATGTCTATCTCCTCTTCTCAAAGCTCAAGCTTACTTTGAGAAAAGTCACTTATTTTATAGTGTAATATTGTAAGAGTTTAATTAAAAGCCTTTTTTCTCGAAAATCGTCCACATTAGGAAGTTCTAACAAGAGTACATTATTTTTAGAAAATAAAATTGTACAATAGAAATTGGAGCCCGACTGGTAAAAAACCTAACCTTAAAAACAATATAACTTAAATTGTAATATGAATGTAGCATAACTAGCGCTTTCTATGAAATATACAAAAAATAATTAGACTAGCGTATTTGGCACCCTTAAAAACCTCGGACTACCAAATTTCATAAAAATATTTCGCACCATTTGGAAATTTTCATAAAAATGTTATTTAAAAAATTTTATTTTGTCTGTATCTCGAAAACAAGAGGAGATAGACATAGAGTTCATAAAACAAAAAAATTCTCATTTTTTGTCATACTATCACCCCCTTTATTTACGGGAGGTCTTTCTGAAACACCCTGTATATATTTTTCGTTTTATTCTTGTAATTGTAAATCTCTATATGCTCAATTTAGCCAAATAAATATCGAGAAAAGAATTAAACGATTTCAAAAAAGTATGTAAGTATGGTGTAAAAAAATTATGCACAAAAGTTTTGGGATTTTGTTTTAGAAAAATAGGAAAATTTTTGTAAAGAAAAATAAACGCTAATGAAAACTTGAAAGAGAAAAAAGGATTCTTATATCATATATTAAATTTATTTAGAAATAATGAATTATGCACTAAGATCGTATTAATCGCCTCAAAAATAACTTCATTTGTTTATAACTTTTAAATTTTTAGGTATAAAATAAGCAATAATATAATTATTTATTTAAAACAAATAATAATTTACATAATAATAAATAACCATGTATAAATATGAAATTTTTGGAGTGAAAAAATTAAATTTCATCACGTTTATTGATTTATTGATTTTTTAATAATTTGCGGTCATTAAATCGTCGGACACTTATATCACTATTTTGTACAGTAAATTTAAAAGTGGAAAAAATGAAAATTAGATTCCAGCTGTCGGACTGAAAAAACGCGGCTTGAAATTTGTCGGACAACAATACTTTTTGACTGAATTAATTATTCACAATTAATTTTACTAAAAATTACCTATGTGGTAATTGATTTTCAATACCCTGTTATTTTGGCATGTTTCGACCGATAGACACGTCAATGTCGGAAGAATTTCTGTCGGACAAATTTAAAACGGCATTTGCAACAAAATTTCCAGTTACTTAAACTAAAAATAAAAGATGTGGTCTTGACTGTTCAAGACCCCGGGAAATTGCCATGTTTTTGGACTTTTCCGAGTGGAAAAGCGGAGGAATCGAGAAAAGTCCCAGAGGAAAAATGTGGTAGACTCTCATCAAAACGAAGCTCCTCAGGAGTTATAAAGTATGTGGTAATCAACTTTCCAGAGGGGGCCTGTACTGTGGACTATTATGACAATGTCCGACACAAAGCCAAAATTATCATCGCAAATATTCCGATTCTCGTTCGAAAACTATTAAATCGTTAGTGCTATATATATTTTTGGCGATGCAGCAATTACAGTTTAGTTAATATTTATTATGACAATGTCCTTAATGTGAAATTAGTCTTCATTAGAAAAACACGTGAGGATAAAAATATCCACGAAGCTGTCGGGTGTAAAATTAGTTAAAAATAAACAATGCCGGTACAGCGTAGGTAGGTAAACCATTCAAGGTATATGGAATTACTCTGTATTTGCATGTATATCCTATTAAGATGAAGTGGTATAAGTTTTTTCATTCAACAGAAATAACTGCACTCGTAAGTTACAGAAATTGTTCAAAATGGTCACCATTTTCTCTCAGACATAAATTTCCCATCGAAATGGCTTATTTAAAAAATTTAAAAGGAAAATTTTATGCAAAAAATCGTTAATAAACAATTTGAAAAAAAGCAAAAAATTCGATTGTTTTTACTTTTTTGACTATTTTTTTTTTTAGTAGAAGTAAGCAAAGAAAATTGCTTTACAATAAAACATGATGAAATTCACTTAAAAATGATGCGTTTTCAAAAGTTTTTGGACTAATATTGACTGATTTATAACCGGTCATACTTAAATATTTTTTAGATTTTCGTCGTTTCTAACATAATAATGATCTCATCTCCATATTCCAGAGAAGTAATAATAATATGATTAACTGTAATTTCATTTGAAAAATCCCTCATAGTTTCATACAGTTGTGAAAATCTTTATTTTATTATTAACAAATAAAACTTTTGAAATAATTTTTTATTAAGTAAAGAACCAATTTGTTGTAAAAATAATAAGTTATAATCATTATTATGTTAAAAACGACGAAAATTTAAAAAATATTAAAGTTTGACCGGTTATAACTCGGTCAACTTTGAAAATCATTTTGAAGGGAATCTAGTCTAGTATTTCTGTACAGCAATTTTCTTTGCCTACTTCTACTAAAAAAAATTAGAATCAAAAAGTAAAAAAAAAAAATCAAAAAATCTTAATTTTTGTTTTTATTTTAAATTGTTAATTAACGATGCGACGTTTTTAGCTTTGTAGCCCAAATGGAAAGTGTACGATCTAGTTCTAACAAATCATAGTTAAAAAGTTAGAAATCTTCATGATGGCAGTGTGACTTTATCAACACAAATTAAATTTAATGTCAAGTATTGCATACATAGTAATTGTTCTTATTGTTTTGTGAGTGGACTGTATATTTGTTGGGTTTATCGAGTTCTTGTATTAAATAGTTCAAAATTCAAATTATCGAGACATTTATTATTTTTATTTATATTATTGACAGAAAGTGTTTCCTAGTTACATACAGCTTACTATTTTAATTAATAATAATTATTTTACAGATTTTAAAACTAAGTAAACAGTAATAATAATGATTAGATATTATCATTTTAGTTGAAATTTTCATTTTCTTTGTACCTATACGTTTATTTTATGGCGCCCATTAAGGGAATAATTTACTAGGGAACACCCAGGGTGTTCAACACCCTGTCCTATAAGTCCTAAACAAATTATTACAGAAATAGGTACCTGACTAAAAAAATTATACTGATTCGCTTCAATGTCCGATCATTCGTAATAAGTGAAATGTTACAGAGGATGTCGCACGTCATCATTGCGTGACAGGATAATGATAAACGTGATGTCATATAGGTATCTCATTTTAAAGGTCAGCCGCGACTGACTTACTACTTTCTTTACACATATCTCGCTGAAACGCTACAAGGCAATCAGGGTAAATCGGGTATAATTAACGTATTCGTCGACATTTAAAAACTACAAAAAAAAGTATTGAATATTTACAACTAAGGTACGGAAATACTGACTGGATGTCGGGTAAATCTAGATAAACTTTGAATGGAATTTCAGGAAGAGAAGTACTCCTTGTGAATGCGAAAGTAGTACTGAAATTTAGGTGTGTGCTACGGGGTGTTACAAGTCAACCTTCACTTTTTGATAATAATTACACGGTTGTAAAATTCTTTCACGCGATTATCGGACAGTGAAAATAATACTTAAAAAATCATTGAAACAATTTTCTTGTTTGAATAAGGAAGATTAGTATATTATAATAAGATATCTAATTATCATATGTCATATATTCGCATTTAGTAATATAATTGAACTTCATTTCCTAATACCAGTAATGTAGCGGGTGACAACATCAATTAATGGATTAAATGTCGCATCTAAAGGTGTAGTGATGAATTAAATTGATTATTTGTTTTGCTGTCGCAATTTTCCGTTCGATTTGAAAGATTGCGAAAAGCAGTAATAGCAAAATGTAATTGCTTTCGTAAATAATTTCCTTTCAATAAACAATACAAAAACATTTTTTCGCTTTAAAGATTTTGAAAGTCGTGGCAAATTGTATGCGTAAATTTAATCTGTATCTTATCACCTACATGTTTGCACATTGACTAAAACTTGAAACTTACATAATGATGACTTAGTGATAATTAATTCTAATTAATTGATATTAAAATAATGTAAGTACTGCAGGATAATAAAATAACAGGTTATATTTATGTCACTGACTAAATATGTATGTGTATAAGTAATTACATAATAAAAATATTCACATATTTGAAAATTTGAAAATGTGGATTTAATAAATTTATATTCTATGAAAAAAAAAAATAGTAAAATTACTAAACATTTTGAGATTATTCAAATTTAATAGCTGTGTTTTTTAAGTCGTTACAATAATTTATAGTAAGTATATAGTATAGTATATAAGTTATACTCGTATGTATTATTAAAATCTTAAAAAATTTGAAATAGATCGACTTTACTACTAAAATTGCGAAATCTTTTTTTTAAATGAAATCATGTTTTTGGAGTTTGGAGCCACAATTTAGGGTTTTTTAAATACAATTTAGGGGAGGGATTTGGGGTCACAATTTAGGGGATTTTATTACAATTGAGTAGAAGTTTAGAAGTTTTTAGGAATTCGAAGTAATAAAATTACTAAACATTCAAATTTAATTGTTGTGTTTTTTAAGTCGTTACAGTAATTTAAAGTTAATATATGTATTATTAAAAATATAGTTTGCCTTCCAGTCTTAAAAAATTTGAAATAGTTCTACTTTGCTACTAAAATTGCGAAACCTTTTTTTAAATGATTCATATTTCTAGAGTTTGGAGACTAGGGTTTTTTTCGAAGTTCGGGGGCACAATTTAGGGGTTCGAGGCCACAATTTAGCGGTTTGTAGTGCAATTTAGAGGCATTTAGGATGTCGATGTTACAATTTACGGTTTTTTTAATAGAATTTCAAGGTTTCGGACACAATTTAGGGGTTTGGGATCATAATTTAGGAGCTTTAGTACAATTTAGAAATTTCGACTACAATTTAAGGGGTTTTTAGTATAATTTATGGGCTGAACAGATCAAAATTCGAAACCTTACCTATTTAATTTTAATTTGATTCAATCTTTTAAACTTTATGATGCTTTAAGAAAAATAAATATTTGTGAAAAATAGTAAAACTTTTGTTTCAGTAGGTTATGAAAAACATAAAAAGTTGTAAATGCACATGCAAATGCAACCATTGCAACCTTTTTCGAGATCTTTTATTTTATAAATTTCGTTCCGATTTTTAGTACAATTTAGGAGTTTTTAGACGTTCGGGCACAATTTAGCGGTTCAAGGCAACGATTTAAAGGTTTGTTGTGCAATTTAGGGGCTTTTAGGGTGTCGAGGTTATAATTTACGGGTTTTTAATATAATTTAGAGGCTTCGGGCACAATTTAGGGGTGTGGGATCGCAATTTGGGCGTTTTAGTACAATTTAGAGGTTTTGAGCACAGTTTAGGGGTTTTTAGTATAATTTATGGGTTGAACAGAACAAAATTCATAACCAACTGATACATACAAATAGATCCCTTTTAATTTTTCAGAAAATTAAGTTTCCTTACCAATTATATCTATTTAAATTTTAATTTGATACGTATTAACATTTAATTTTTTTTAAACTTCATGATAACTAGGAAAAAATTAAAATTTGTGAAAAATAGTAAAACTTTTTTTTCAGTAGATTATGAAAAACAAAAAGGTTATAAATATACATGTAACGCCTTTTTGAGATCTCTTATTTTATAAATTTCGTTCCGATTTTTAGTACAATTTAGGAGTTTTTAGTCGTTCGGGTACAATTTAGTGGTTCAAGGCAACGATTTAGGGGTTTGTAGTGCAATTTAGTGGCTTTTAGGAAGTCGAGGTTACAATTTAAGGGTTTTTAATATAATTACAAGTTTTGAGGCACAATTTAGGGGTTTGGGACCATAATTTACGAGTTTTAGTGCAATTTAGAGCACAGTTTAGGGGTTTTTAGTACAATTTATGGGTTGAACAGAACAAAATTCATAACCAACTGATACATACAAATAGATCCTTTTTAATTTTTCACAAAATTAAATTTCCCTACCAATTATATCTATTTAAATTTTAATTTGATATTAACATTCAATTTTTTAAACTTCGTGATACCGTAACTTTAGGAAAAAAAATTAAAATTTGTGAAAAATAGTAAAACTGTTTCAGTAGATCATGAAAAACAAAAAGTTATAAATATACATGTAACCCCTTTTCGAGGTCTCTTATTTTATAAATTTTGTTTCGATTTTTGTTAATTTTCACCACTGACTATTATGTATGTATTTTTAGCATCTTCTTATAATAATACCCATTTATTTTAGGGACTGGCATTTACTCTCGAAGAACGTCAAGCATTGGGCATCCACGGACTTCAACCTGCACGCTTCAAATCCCAAGAAGAACAATTAGAACTCTGCAGGATATCAATAGAAAGGCAAAAAAACGCAACATTTTGCTAATATAACCGTATTTTATGTCTACTTCTTTATATAGGTACCAAGAGGACTTGAATAAATATCTATATCTCACAGAATTGCACGACAGAAACGAGAAGTTGTTCTTCCGTTTGTTATCGGAGAACATTGAAAATCTCATGCCGATCGTGTATACTCCTACGGTAGGACTGGCTTGCCAGAAATTCGGGTTGATCTACAGGAGGCCTAGGGGACTGTTTATTACTATTAATGATATTGGGCACGTGTTCGAAGTATTAAAAAATTGGTGAGTACCTTCGATAACAAAATATTTTTCAATATTTATGAATTTTCTTTGTACAGGCCCGAACCAAACGTAAGAGCCATCGTGGTGACTGACGGTGAACGTATCTTGGGTCTGGGGGACTTGGGCGCCTGCGGCATGGGCATCCCTGTCGGAAAACTAGCGCTGTACACAGCCCTAGCGGGGATCAAACCTCACGAGTGTCTGCCGATTGTCCTGGACGTCGGTACCAACAATCAGGTAACCGTACCACGCGCCACCGAACCGGTCAAAATGTTCATTTAAGCTCTTCTAGAACCTTTTGGAAGATCCCCTCTATGTAGGGTTGCGCCAGAAGAGGGTCACCGGCAAGCTCTACGACGATTTCGTCGACGAGTTTATGCAGGGGGTGGTGAAACGTTACGGACAGAACACGCTCATTCAGTTCGAGGACTTCGGCAACCACAACGCCTTCAGGTTCCTCGACAGGTACAGGGAGCAGTACTGCACCTTCAACGACGACATACAGGGCACCGCCAGTGTGGCCGTTTCCGGATTAATGGCCTCCACTAGGGTGACGGGAAGGAAGCTGTCCGATAACAAGTTCCTTTTCCTTGGGGCTGGGGAGGCGGCTATTGGCATCGCCGATTTGACGGTGAAAGCTCTAGAGAACGAGGGTTTGACGTTGGAGGAGGCTAGAAATAAGATTTGGATGGTCGATATTGACGGCTTGCTCGTTTTGGAGAGGCCGGAGGGAGGTCTCGACGGTCACAAGAAGTTTTACGCCAAGAACCACCCTCCTGTTAAAGATTTTGCTGCCGTTGTCAATGAGATCAAACCGTCAGTGTTGATTGGTGAGTTAACATTCAATATCGCTATTTTTTATTTTATTAATAGATATACAGGTGGTATAATTTGTTTTCTGAAATTCGAATGAAATTTTCGACCCTTCCCATTTTGCGAAAGTAACTTTGAACTTTCGTTTTTTGACTGCCTAGCGTCCTATTGTTGTATCACATCAGGTGTATTGGTATTGTGAGGTTGGCAACACTGATAAGCGAATACATTCAACCAGGTTATTTGTATTTTACCTCTAAAAAACTCACCTGCACTTAAAGTTACACCTTGTATAATATACAGGGTGCGTGCAGTATAAATGCTGTACATTTATATGAGACGTTTTTTGTAAAATTAATCAAGGCTCTCGCCAAAATTTGGAGATACGTTTTAGATGGTTTTGGATGTAAAAAAATTATTTCTTGCAAGTACTTTAAGATAAACTAATGGAAAAAAATTAAAGGGTCAAAAGAATTTCCGAAATTTTTTTGGGATTTTTGACAGACTGTTTTAGGTGAAAAATGGTCGTATCGAGAATTAAAAAAAAGCATTTTGAAGCTCTAAGATTCTAGTTTTTAAATCTTTTGGTCGAAAATTTTTAATCATGCAATTCTAAGAAATAGTGCGACGAAAAAATTTTGCAAATTTTCTAGTTTTTTCTATAACATGTTGTCGCAACTTTTTGGAAAAAGTTCTTTTTCATCCTTTACACGAATTTAAAAAAAAACAGGAAAAACGGGTAATTTATTTATTTTTTTTTTGAAAATTGACAGCTAAATTAGAAATATTCACGAAATGACTAATGTTAAGCATAATTTTTACAGTTCGATATATCCAGGAAAACCCTGTGAAGTTTCATCTCGATCTAGTGAACCGTTTCTTTGTTTCAAGCAAAAAAAAAAAAAAAATTAAAGGGTCGCGTTTTTTGAGCTTAAATCATGATTCATAATCATGATTAAAATGGAAAAAACGTTTTTTTTTTAGGTTTTCTCACATTTTTACCGCAAATGACGTTTAAATTGATAAAAAAAACTTTTCGAATTTTTTTTTCAAAGAAAAAGAGTAGTTTTGAAAAAAACTTTTTAAGTGATTACAGACTGCACAAAAATTAATTAGTTTATCTCAAAAAACGGTACGATCGGGGTCCAAATCTGGTTTGGGTCATTAACTTTAATATTAATTTAATTAAAAGTTGATGAACAGAAGCATAGGACGGAAAAGCCGAATCGTGCTGGAAACAATTGGATTTTGTTTTCTTCAAGGTCCGGAAGTTTTTCCAAAAAAAAACAAAATAAAACTTCGAAAATTTCGAATTTTTTTTTTTTTTTTCATCAATTTAAACGTTATTTGCGGTAAAAATGTGAGAAAACCCAAAAAAAATATTTTTTTTCCATTTTAATCATGATTATGAAGTGTTTCAGCTGAAAAAACGTGACCCTTTATTTTTTTTCAAAAGTTTGACTGTTTGAAACAAAGAAACGGTTCGCTAGATCGAGATGAAACTTCACAGAGTTCTTCTGAGTATATCGAACTTGCTTAATATTAGTAATTTCGTGAATATTTCTAATTTAGCCGTAAATTTTCTAAAAACCTAAAATTACCCTTTGTTCCTGTTTTTTAAACCATGACCCCTTGAATGGCATTGTCTTAAAGTAAACCGCCTTAAATACCAACTGAGCCAAGGGCCGCTCTGACCTCGAAAGCTTAGAAAAAAAATTGTTCTCAAGATTCAGTTCATAGTATGAATGGAAAATTGCAATTTTTTTATTTTTTTCATCCAAGAATCAGAACGTGGTATGATATTATCGAAGCGTTACATTATTTTATCAATATTTTGAATGACATTTACAAATTTCTTCAAGTAGTTTGTGTTGAAAATACCAAAGTTATGGGCTGTTGTCCACCGATTGTCGTCGTCTGAGTTGGTTGTTCACGAGAATTGTAGAGGTCGCAGTTTTAATCTGAAAGCAAAATTGTTGTTTTCTTGCATTGTCAACATGTTTTCTGAAAATATGAACCTCATTGTTGGCAAAAATTGTGAAAATAGAAGTTTTGTCATGTGTTTGAAAAAAATGTATCGATTTTCAACATTTTTTTTCACTTATTTTGAATAAAAAACATTTAAAATTAGTTCATCTCAATTGTTGGTTCATGTTCTTTGTAATTTCATAAAGAAACACACTTTCTATTTTCATAACGATCAATTCATAACTTTTTGATTTAAAGTTCCCGTGAATCAAAAAAATGTCGTTTTGGGAAAAACGCGTTCGAAGATTCCCGAAAACTAGAAATTTGAGATAGATATCAATAATATAGAATGCTTTCCAATCAATCAGCCATTCCTGCAACGTATAACAGTCCTTCTTCCTCGAAGGCATCATTCTGAGCTTGCATCTGTTCTTTTCTGGCTTAATAAGAACTGGGTGTTCGGTTTTAGGCTCATAAAATTTGAAGGAATAGGAATTTTGTTTTGATATTTCAGCAGCGTATTCTTGAATAGTTATACTTATTAAAAAAAAAACGACTCTTTGAAACTCCTGTGGTTTTAGGCCAACCAATAGAGCGAAAAAAGAGGCTGTTTTACACTTAAATATTAGAGCAAATTTAATGTATTTCCTTTTGAAAAATACTTTGTAAATGAAAACCCAAGAGATTTCCCCAGCAAAGCCATCAACAATTTTTTTAAAGCAATAAAAATGCAAAAAATGACATCTTTTTTGTTTTTTTTTATAATATCTCGAAAAATAATGATTGAATCGTCTTACTCTCAATAGGACTTTTGTACAGAATAAAAAAACCTATAAAATGGTTGATTGTGCGACCCGATCGGTTCATTTTTTACAGAAAAAATCCGGAGAAACCTCTAAAGTAGACCTTTTTTCAAAAATTCATAACTCCGTGAAATTTGAAGCTGGAAAAACAATCTTGCGGACAATGACAGATAATAATATGTAGTTCAATCGTGCGCAAGATGGTTTCTATCGGATGCATAGTTTTTTGCATTATAATCAAATTAGTGTCTTTTTTTGCATAGCGTGGCGATTTATCAAAAATGGTCCGATTTAAATTCTGAAAACGGCATCTGCAACAAAATATGCTAAAAATGCCCTCGAAAATCGCCCGAAACAATCGAAAAAGTACGCTCTAGCTAGAGTCGAACGGTAGTGGGGGGGGGGGGAAGCAGCAAGCGGATTGTTTTGAACGACTTTCAAGGGCGTTTTTAGCATTTTCCCATCACCGAAAATCCGAGATAATATACAAATCGGAGATTATGTCGTCTACTTTGAGATGCCGTTTTCAGAATTTAAATCGGACCATTTTTGATAAATCGCCACGATGTGCAAAAAAGACCCTAATTTGTTTATAATGCAATTGTGCAAGAACTATGCATCGGACGGAAACCATCTTACGCACGATTAAACTACATATTATTATCTGTCATTTTCCGCAAGATTGTTTTTCCAGCTTCAAATTTGATGGTTATGAATTTTTGGAAAAAGGTCTGTTTTAGAGGTTTTTCCGGATTTTCTCTGTAAAAATGAACCAATCGGTTTCCCCTCGACAACTTAAAAAAAAACAGTTAATATGGAATTTTGCAAACGCCTTGCATATTATTTACTTACCACAGATCCTATTTCATTTCAGGTGCTTCTGCGGCAGCTGGCGCCTTTACCCCTGGAATCTTAAAATCCATGGCAACTTTCAACGAGCGACCCATAGTGTTCGCCCTCAGTAATCCCACTAGCAAAGCAGAGTGTACGGCGGAACAGGCTTATAGTAATACAGATGTAAGAACGGATATTAATAATTAGAATCATAAATTGTAAACTTTCATTTTTAGGGTCGTGTGATATTCTCCAGCGGTTCGCCCTTCGGTAAAGTCACCCTAGGGGAGAAGACCTTCTATCCGGGCCAGGGTAACAACGCCTACATCTTCCCAGGGGTGGCGTTGGGTGTGTTATTGGCAGGGATCCACCATATCAATGAACAGATCTTCCTACTCGCTTCCGAGACGGTAGCGAAGTTTGTTAACGAAGAAGACCTGGCGAGGGGTAGCCTTTATCCGCCCCTGAGCTCGATCAAGGAGTGCTCCATGAGCATAGCGTGCGAAATACTGGAATATGCTTATAAAGAACGTAAGTATGAAATAGTTTGTTTTATCCCACTTCTGATATATTTTTGTTGTTTCCAAAAATTTTATCCCACTTCTGATTTCAGTATAATATATTTTTGTAGTTTTCAAAAGCATTTTTTTGAGTTCTAAATTTTATTTAATACGACAATTGACTCTGAAATCTGTTCTACGTGTTCAGGTATCGCGTCAGTGTATCCTAAACCTAAGGATATGCGAAAATACGTGGAATCTCACCAGTACAACCACAACTACGAGCCCTCGTTGCCCCAAAATTGGCCCTGGCCCAATCCCCCATACATTAAGACGCGACCTATGGAACCCACCAAATTAAAAGCGTAGTGTTCTGGGCACTCTGCTGAGCTGCGACGTAAATTGAATTTTTTAGCGTTAGGATAACTTATTTTGTATTTTGTTAAATGACGTTTCTTTTTCCTTTTTTTTTTTGTGATTCAAGGTTTATTTTTAATTTCCAAACAAGAACTCTTTAGCGTGGATGAGATGTACAGTATCGTGCCATATATCAAACGTTTAAATAATTTGCGTACTTAATTGTTATTTTTGTAACAAATTGTATCATCGTATTAATTCGAGTATTCATTTAATTTTAAAGTGTCTTTTTTTTACAAATCGATTGTGGATTGAGCAATATCACTACAGTATTCTTTTCTGGTCATTTTAACCATTCGTTTTGGTATGATTTTCATTGTATGTGTAAGTTAAATATATATATATTACAATGTTCTCTTTGTTTCATTTCCCCTCGACCATTTTGGTGATTAAAAAAAATTTAGTATACAGGGTGTTCCGTAATGATACGCGAATATTTAAGGGTGTGATTCTACGTGGAAAATTAGTGATAATTTGTTTTATAAAGTATGGTCCAAGAGTGATTCGTTGCGAAAATACAGGGTGTTAAAATTTTAGGAAAAGAAATTAATTAATTTTTTCGAAACAGCTTGAAATATTTCAGTGATATTTAGTGCATGGTGAAAGTTAATAAAGGCGCATGTTTTTCGATACAATTTTTTTTTTGCCTACGAGCACTGATTTTTAAAGAAAAAAACGTTACGCCGTTTTTTCCCAAATAAAATTATTTTTTAAATCCCCGTTCAATTCGAAGAGTTCTCTTGAGTTTTTGCACTGACAGTGTGACGCACCGCTTCACCTAAAATTTCCGTTTGGTTGTGCAATTTGAAATTATTTTTAATTTTATTAGTCCAACCAAATTACACTTGGAGAAAAATAAAAAATAACCACAAATTTTTTTTAGATAGAAAATCAAGAAGTTTCCGAGATATTCATTTTTTCGGTCTGAAACACTTTTTTTTTCAAAGAAAAATTCTACTTAGAAAAATCATCGTACAGAGTTCTGCCGGTGATCATTTTTTTCGTTTTGACATATATACTTTTTGGTGAAATAAAAAAATCTGTAATCACAGTTCAGAGACGTACTCAGGAAAAATTTTAAACGATAGCTGAAAAACCTTTTTACAATAGTAATATGTAATTCAGAACTAAAAATTAGTTTAGATTGTGTCATAAAAATAGCAGCGACGTATTTAAAAAAATTAACCTGATGATGGCCCCTCGAAGACGAAACGTCGAATTGCAAACATGTTGACGCCATATTGGATAGAGCGACAAAAGTGGCAATGTAAATATGCAATTTATTTTAAAAATCGTTTTCAAATAAAGCCAAAAAAAAAACAATTTTGCAAAATTTCGTGTTTTTCCGGATATACAGGGTGTTCCTAAATAAGTGTCGCAACGGAAAACTGTAAATTCCTCTTGAAAAATGAAACATTATTTTCCTTTTTTCTCTCCGGGCTTTCGTTTTCGAGATACACGGTGTCAAAACTTTAATTTTTTAAAAATTTTTTGCCAATATCTTAGGAACCGTTTGAACTACAGGACTGAGTTTTTGTACACGCATTACCACTATTAATAGCTACTTTTTCGCACCCTTCTCGAATTCATTGAACGTGCCAGTGGTTGAGATTTTAAGGTATTGTAAGGGTTTTTCCCCCACTGGAAAAATTGACATTTGACAGCAAATTGCCAATGAATTTTACACAAAAAGAGTTCTCTTGGTTCATTGCTCTAAAGTCAACCGTTTTCAAGAAAAATTACTTTTTATGAACAAAAACAAACATTTTGCTGACGTTTCCAAAATATTTTGTAATTTAAAAGACGGGTAGTAATAATTAAAAATTTTAACGAAATTTAACAGCATTTACAACAAGTAGCTATTAATTAATAGTGGTAATGTGTGTATAAAAGCTCAGTCCTGTAGTTCAAACGATTTCTAAGATATTGACAAAAATCTGAAAAAGTTTTGATACTGTGTATCTTGAAAATGAAAGCCTGGAGAGAAAAATGGAAGAGGAAAAAAATGTTTCTCTTTTCAAGAGGAATTTACAGTTTTATGTTGCGACACTTATTTAGAAACACCCTGTATATGTATATCTACGAATTCATCAAAATTAAAAAAAAATACACTAATCGATCCTACAGAAAAAAAATTATAAAAATTTCAAAAAAGCAAAACCTACAATTTTGTACTGTACAANAATAATAAAATTATTATTTTATTTATTCACTGTTCGACTTAATGTTTATAGCAATACTGTACAATAATAGTTTTGGGCCAATCAATGAGTATTTTATTTTTTCCGTAGAATTGAATGGTGTAATCAGTTTTTGATTTTTTTTTTAAATTTAAACAAATTCTCAATTATTACTGAAAAATTCATTGTTGCGTCATTTTTTAATTTTTTGCATTTATGAGCATGTTTTTGAACTGTGATTACAGATTTCTTTATTTCACCAAAAAGAATATGTCAGAGCGAAAAAAAGATCACCAGCAGAACTCTGTACGATGATTTTTCCAAGTAGAATTTTTCTTTGAAAAAAAAGTGGTTCAGACCGGAAAAAAATGAATATCTCGGAAACTTCTTGATTTTTTTATCTAAAAAAAATTGTGGTTGTTGAAGGAAAAGAAAGGTATACTTTCACTAAGTTTTGTCAAAATTAAATTATTTTTGCGGAAATGAGAAATAAAAAACTAAAAATCAGAAAAAAACCTGTTTTTCGCGTTTTTCTCGTAAATTTTGAGGTTATCTTAAAAAGTGACTTCTACAAAAGTTGTAGATTTTTGCATGATCTACAACTTCTGTATTGGATACTTTTTTGTTTGACGTCAAAAAAACTGATGGCGTTCCCAAAATTATTAAATCCCTCCTTATTCCACATGCCCGACTTTACACCCACTATTAAACACAGCATGTAGAAAATTTTTTTAAATAAACACTTCCACACAACCACATACTTCAAATACCATTCATTCTGAAACTTCCGAAAGTACACGTCTTTTGACTTCCCCTTTTTTCCATATCGAGAGAATAAGACACAAGTCTCTCGCAATTAAAAAAAACCTTTTTGTCCTCAATTTTCCATCTGGAAAATGGCGTTTCCAATAAAATACATACTGGATCATACATAGGAAACATTTCTACAATTATTGATACAAAACAAATATTAACAGAACTATTACAATCGTGCTCTGGGCGACATATCATATAAACTGTTTAACCTTTCAGTCGGGGCTCTTTAAGTTGTAACACCAAACGGGGCGCCGGGTCTTAGAGACCTGTAGCCATAATTTTTTGGTAAACAATTTTTTTGTTAATACGACATATTTATACAATAGAACTAACCTTTATTTACAGTATTATACAAAAAAAACTTAAGTTATGAAAAACAAATACATAAATTATATTGTAACAAAAAACAGTACAAAAAAAGCATAATTTTCAAAATGCGGATGCAAAAAAAAATACGAAGCGAAAACTTATTTTTTTTTATATATAAACATGTTACAATAAAGTCAAAAATCAATGTTTATTGATTTTTGGCAATACTTGAGCATGTTGGACACCAAGCTTGAAGATGACTTAGACCCATAGATCCCATAGACGACGGAGTCGTTCTTGTTCTGTCTCGTAACTCATTATCTAAAACAAAAATTAAAATATATATATTTTTGAAAAATATACTTTACTCCATAATGTGCCTAATTTTACTAAAAAATTACAATATTGTAATAAAGAAAAGTAAAACTTACCACAAAAATAAAATTGTTTCAAATCGGGGCGCCGGGTCACACAGACTTATCGTACAATAAAAACTAAATCACAAGGACTATATTTTTACCACTTGCTACAATTAAACTAACAGCCGATGTGGGAAGGTACTGGAACCTGCAGCACTGCACGAAGTTTTGCCGAGATTTGCCAAAGACTCCGAAAGGCCGTGTCTCCGAGACCCGGCGCCCCGACTGGAAGGTTAAAGGCAGGCGATGGGCGATGACAATCCTGCTTCAATTTCCTCGTCGCTCGTTCCCCCACACCGTGTTGGCTGCATCGTCATGGCAACCGCTGTAAACAATTCTACGAAGAGAAGCGGAATTCAGACTGATTTCGATCCGTTGTATGGTTTGCGCTCAACGAAGGCAATGTTTTTTTAGAAGGCGTTCACCGCGCTATTCTGTTTATTTCTGTGTATAAAACAAACAAGCGCAATATAATTTCAATATAGAATTATACCTAAATTATAAAATTTAAAATAATTTTGAGTTGCACAACCAAACGGGGATTTTAGGTGAAGCGGTGCGGCAGAAATTGCATCGGAAATTGTAATGTGCTGCTCATTTCGCATAGTGTTCCAATATGTTCAACCTACGCATGCATACTTGGAATATTATAATTATACTTGTTGGATATTTGGATAAAGTAATTTTTGGAATCCTTTAAAATGGTACACCCATGAAATTGTATTCCCTGCACGTCTTACCCCACAACGAAAATGCGTCATTGCCTAGTAATTTGCTAACGAGTATGCAAAAGGGAAAAATCGTCGCGTGATTATTAGTTTGTTCTATCTCAAATTATCATTTTAGTGCCGTAAGTGATTTTAAAATTATTTTTATCTGCCTCCATCTAAAATTTCAATGAACAATTTAGTGGGTATATATTTTTCATATTCACAGATTTTTTTTGATACGGATAGATTAGTATAATTTTAAAATGCTTCATATCATTAAAATAACATTTTGAAAAAATGGAGATAGAACAATTCAACAATCAACTGACAAAATGTGTAAAAAGACGAAAACAAAAAAAATGGAATAAAACAAATTGTAAAAGAAAAAATTTTGTACTGCATTTATAAAAAAATCTTATCCTAGACATTTTATCTTTAATTTATTGAAATTTTAATATAAAAAAACATTTTTATGTATACATCACTTCTTACATGACTAGAAGAAAAATATTCTTGACTTTACAAACAAAATCACTGAAAAAAGTGTATACAAAAGTAACAAAATCTTGTAATTAAAAAAACTCACTCTACTTTCTTTTCCGATATTCTGTGCCGAGAGGTTGAAGCAATTCCGGCTTCGTCCTCGTTGTTTTCGATCAATTCCACTGCACATCTACGAGGGAACCATCCCCTAGTGCGGAGAAGGGACTCTTCCCCCACGGGGAGGTCACGCTGAATTTTTTCACCAAACAACCAATATCTAAAACGACGTTTTTAGACAAATTGTCTTTCGCTAAGTAAAATAAAGAAATAAGTAATAGTCGATCGTGATTATAACGACCATAAAAAAAATCTACCAGTTCCGAAAAAGAGATAATGAAATAAAAGATTCTCTATAATAGACGATTATGTTTTAAGGAAGGTGTACTTTATTTCGATATTTTTATGTACTTACTTCCTCCACCTGGTCACCATAACTTTATCTCCAACTTCGAGTTTTATTCTCGGCTCATCAGTAAACGGAAAGTTTATACAAACTTTAAAGCCGTGCTTAAAAGGGAACCAATATCCCGACGCTGGTTTTACAATACTATAAATCTTAGCTTTCAGTCTTTTCTCATTTTTCTGCTGCAGCTGTTCCCTCTAAAAATATAAGTTCCGTGTTCGTATCAATTTTTTTAACAGAAAAATTAGTACTAACCGTAATAGTGTATTGGTCGCAATTCTTTACGACTGGCCAGCTGACTCCGTCTCCAATAGGATGACAACTGAAGTTGAAAACTTGAAAGAAGTTTTTCCATGGTCCCAGATCGTAAGGGAACACAAACTTCTCGTCAGAATTCCTCCTTCTGAAGTTGGCTTTTTCTAAAATCCAGTCTTCTATACCTGTGCGATTTCTGATTATAGCCCGCAACTAAAATATACAAACTAACTAATATGTAAAATATAACAATTTTGCCTTCTTACCTGGAAATAGAAAAGCATTCCCACAGCCACTACAACTCCAATAGAGAGTCCCAAGGCGAGAACGCACATTATCATACCATACAAACCAAACTGAATAATAGGTTCATTTTCTGTTCCGTAGTATAAATAGTGCATCCTGTGAATGGATCTGTAGAGTGTGCGACCTAATATTACCGATGCCTGAAGGCAGCCTAGTGTTGCAAATAGAAGAAAAAGTGTAAAATGTGCGTGATTCCCCCAACCCACACAATTGTTGATCCAGGGACAGTGGTGATCCATTTTCATGACACATCGACCACCTACGTAAAAAAACACATTTCATTTGATTGGAAAAAGACAGAAGGAAAACCATACATTTTCGACAGTGATGGGATCTGGGTGCTTTGTATCCATGACAAACCCCACAACTTTGCAAATATTCACAATCTTGCTCTTTGTTCTACAACAACCAAATCTAAAAATAAAATTAAAGCACATTTCAGCCTTACACGTACAGGTTTCCATCCCAAGGGTAAGTATCCGGGTCCGTGATACATAGACGATAAAAAATTGTACAACGTTAGCCCGGATAGGGTGACAAATAAAGCAGAGTTCAAAAAGCTGCCGGCGCTATGTGCAGGCCACAACATACTATTACAATGCATAGTCATCCCAGTGACAAATTTTATAATACCTGAAATTAAATGTTCTTTAATATATTGACTTGATTTAATTGTAACTGACCTAAGGCAGTCAAAGGACCCCAGTGGCATATCCTAGTAAATGGACCGAAGCACATATTGCCTAGATATGAGGTGGCTGTAATATTTAAATTACTTCATAAATTCTGAATTTTCAAACGTCATGTTTTAAAATACAGAAACACAAACAAACTTAACCTTGAAAAATATAATCTGAAAGCGTTACATCGATTTCCCTCGTTTTTCATTTTATAAAAATTGCAATGGAAAAAAATTCTATTCAGGTAATAAATTTCATTAAAAATAATTGTGTTCTTTTATTCATTTTGATGTGATGGTTTCCGTAGAACCAATAAGAGATTAGAATTTTTTAAATAGGCCAATAGTAATACATCGATGGGATTCACATTAAAACGAGGAATAAAAGAACACGGACTACCATTAGAGTCATTCCACAGGAAAGCCGTTCCGTGGTACGCGCACCATGGCATGGGTCGTGTGAAATTGAATGAATACGCCTATCTATATTTTTTATTGATGTGACCTAATAGTGAAAATAAAGTCTGTTTATTTACATTCTTGCGTCAGTTTCCAATCGTAACAAGATTTTTAAAATTGATTTCGTGCGTTTATTAAAATTTTGTACATATTTGATATACAATAGCGATTTATAAAACAAAATGGAAAGTGACAAAAATAATAAAGTTGATCTAATTATAATTGAAAATGTAAATAAACAGGACATATTTCCCTTATTGTCACATGAATAAAAAAATAAAGATAGATAGGCGTATTCGCTCAAATTTCATACGAGACGTGCCATTGAACGGCTATCGTATGGAATAACTCTTAGAGAAATCTCTGCACTGAATGTTCCCAATTCCTACCGATAAACAAAGAAAAAGCGAGTTTAGAACTATTGGCTATCCTTTTTAATAAAACAAAAGATGTATGCGCCATCTTGTGATGTAGTACTCGACAAAATAATCCGAAGATTTTGAACAGGGAGACTAGATAAGGAGCACGAACTCATACGGGAAAATTGACAAAATTTGTCCAAGAAATGGCAGAAGTTGGGGTGGCGCTAGTGTTCCATGTGACCCAAGTGAATGTAGCATAATAAATACGAGTGAAGTAAGCAAATAACCATTTTTTGAGTTTAGTAGATGTAGATATATCGGGGAGATATACTAACCTGAAAACTAGAAGTCAAGTCAATAATTATTACAATTTGTTTTTATAATGGTAAATAAAAAGTTTCAAAGATAATTTAAATATGGTAATAGTATGTGAATAAGTGAATGACTGTCAACAGATTTAAAATAAAACTACGTTTGTTATCTGCATTTTCAATCTAATGATGTCCAGCAGTTCTATCTTACAACTTGACCGAATAGTGGGTTAATGTTATGGCAAAAGGTCTAATAATTCGGAAGTTGGAAGCAGCTTCTTTGATTCTCAATAAGGTAGAGAAATTTTTAAATGGAAAGATTTCAGAAGTGAAAATATTGTATAATTGAATGATGCATTGTTTCTTTATTTATCTTGCAGCATCATCAACAGCAAGAGCTTCCGCTACACCAGCAACAACAGGTGAAGCAGTTAAAACAAGAGCAACAGTTGTAACAACAACAAGAACAGCAAGTAAATCAAGAGCAATAAAGTTATGATGAAATTATACTAGAAAGTGAGCATCATGTCCTGTATAATCTAATAAAAGAAAAATTCTGTTGGCGTGTGATGAGGTCTCGACAAAGCAACGATGAGTATGTTCAAAGCATAATATTGACAATAGCAACAAAGTATACCTTATTTATTTCTACATATTCTTGTAATTTATATTACATGCATTAAATTCGTATCTTTATGATCATTACTGAATTGAATAAATCATTTCCAATTAGTTGCTGTTTCTTTCCTGTTAGTAAAAATTAGTAAAAAACTGATTGAAATTCAGATATCATATAAAATTTAAAGAGAGGATACGTGTAGTAATCGATGCTGATCGATCTGTATTGGTAATTGACTACTTTTACTAAATATTTAAACATGGAAATCAATTTGCTTCATGAACAAAATGAAATTTAAAGAAAGATAGACTGACAAGTATTACTTATTTTTAATAAGAGAATAAATATTTATTTTTATTAGGTACGTACAAATAATTTCGTTTTTTGATTCCATTAATAAAACAATGATCTCTTTGTTAGATAAACATTTTGTTTTTCAAATATAGAACATTGCTAAAATATTTCTTTATAATACCTTATTAATTTTGCTCTACCTTGGAATAAGTCGTGGAACGATGTTACGTTCGAATTAAATCAACAATTTTCTGCAAGTAGAATTAAATTTTTCAGCTATTTTAAAATATATACCCAGAAAACTAATCGATTTTAAACAGTTATAAAATATTTAGATTACCTATTTTTTGTGACCTTTATAATGGAGTATATTTTGTTAAAATTTACTCTTTTTGTTTCTTTGAGTAATTCTATTTCACCATCACTCAAGCTGGACAATGCGTCTAATAAGTCGTCTGAATCACTTGACTCAAAATCGAACATCTGTATTAATATTTTAAAAAGTTTATTTAAAACACCGAGTTTTTTTATATTCTATTTTTTATTACCTCAAGTAAAAATTCCATATTATTAATAATACAAGAATTAATATTTTTTTGAAGGGAACTTCCTGTATAAAATGTGACTATTTTTTACTTACATTAAACTAAAATTGTGACAAAGTGATTATCAAAAATATAAACCTTACTTGTAGGTTAATATTGACAGGACACGTCATAAATTTCTTGAGAACTAGTTTCTTTCTACAAACACCAAATTCTTCTCATAAAGCTAATATTTTTTATTATCTATTTAGTTTAATTACAGTCCGGAATGACATATTTTCATTTTTATATAATTCAAAATAGCTTACAAGTTTTATTTTAAAATTTTTTACACATCACAAAAATGACATGATTGATTTATAATTCAAACTGCCGCTTTTTATCTCCCCTCTCTACATATGTGACCTATGGAACACTAGCGCCCTCTTATTTTTGTAAGATTTTTGTTTACATGGAGTTCGGACTCCTTGTATATATGATTTTGAAATTGAAACTTCAAGTGAACTGTGTCTCAAAAAATTTAAAAAGAATTTAATAAAATATCAACGGGATGTGCAAGTGCGTTATACCTTTTTTGTATACTTGTTATATACCTGTTAGTGCTTGTGAGACTATTGAGTCTTTTCTTTGCTAAACAGACCGAAGTTCACCAGTTTAGGATCTACAACTCGTGAGCAGAGCTGGGTAATTCCTGGTGAAAAAGTAATTAGCAATTACAATTCCCTTTTTTTCCCTGTAATTGTAATTGTATTTAAGTACTTTTTTTTATTAAAGTAATTTGGAATTGTAATTGCAGCAAAATTGTTATAGGAATTGTAATTTGTAATTATATTATTTGAACTATCGAATTACAAATTACTTCTATAAGTACAAATACTTTTTCCAATTACAATTACTTTTTCTATTAATTATAATTACTTTTAAGATCATGCGTATTGCGTAATTGCGTACAGACTTGCAGACTTCTATTATTTCAGTTGAGTAAAGCCTTGTGCCGCGTGAACAATAATAAGTGATTTGAATTAACCTCAGAATTAACAGAGTACATTTTATTTTATTATAATTATTATTAATTTAGAAAATATACGAAGTAAAAATATGTTGTCTATAGCATCAAGTTTTATAAAAATATATATTATGTATCTATGTGTTACTGCTCTTATTTTGAGTTGAGAAAACTTCTGGTTCGGTTACTCAGCCTTTCACTCGTACTTGTTTGATTCGTAATTTTTTTAATAATAATTATTGCTTTCCAGTCTACCCAAAACTACTGTTTTCTATATTTTGCAAATGTACTAACAACCAAAAAAAAGAGCATCGGGTTGAATTAATTACCTGACCAATAATATAAAATTATAGTATGAACTGAACTAGTTTAAATTATTAGATTAGGAATAAAAATATAAAAATTCTATATTAGAAAATGAATAAGAATAATCTTTTCATTTTAGTATCAATTGTAATAAATAATAAAACGCAATATTACACAACACTTTTAATTTAAATTTTTAACTTAACTTTTTCCTTTTTCTCTGTTTGGTCACTATAATTTACTTTATCATAAAAGTAATTAGAAAAGTAATTGCTAAATCCATTTTCCATGTAACTGTAATTAAATTAATATAATTCCTTTTTTAAAGAATATACTTTGTAATTGTAATTAGTTCCTTTTTTTAAAAAGTAATTTGTAATTGTAACTATTTTTAAATTACAAGTAATTACCCAGCTCTGCTCGTGAGTACATATTCTAATTATCTAAAAAATGCATTTTATCACGTAAAGAACTCACGGGATATATAATCATCTGTAGTTTGACAGGTATGTTTTTATAATGACTTTCCGTAATTTTTTTAATGTATATGCAGTGAGCTCAAAATTGTGAAATAATTTTACATAAGTAGTACGGGGTGTACTGGAAGGAAGTATTAAAAGGAAACACTTTGTTCAAAAATTACATTTATTGAATACACAACAATAAATACAAAAGCTATCCTTTTTGAACGATTCTCTAAAATTCATAAAATATACTCATTTGATAACGTACATAATATTAGGCTCCCTCCAACGGTGGCAAGGAGTATATTTGTTGAGAGTAATACTGGGTCAATCATATTTTAATCTGTTTCGCTATCAGCACGTACAATTGTGAGCAGAGGGAGCATTTAGGTCGGGATCGTTTACATCCCTGGGTCTTCCTCGCCTACCCGGAAGCATCGCTCTATCCACAGCCGTTTCCATCCTTATCATCACCCTTTCTAAAAGGGTTTCTACGGCTCTGGTAACATTTTGACCAGTTGCAGCACTCGTTTCCAAATATGGAAGACTAAAAATATCATTTTAGAGTACAGTTAAATATCGACATGGTAATTCTTCGAGTGTTATATTTAATGTACCACTTACCCATGTTTCTCAGCAACTTCCCTAGCTTTCCATTCTGTTATAACCCTTCTGTCTTCTAAGTCCGCTTTGTTGCCACATAAAACTACATCGGGGCATTCACAATACGCATGTAACTAAAAAATACGTTTAATATTACTTTGGTACAAACACTTTTCACAATTATAAAAAAAGCAGAGTTTTGTACCATCGTTTAACTTGAACATACCCATTCTTGATAAATCTATCAATTCATGGTCGGTTAAAATAAATTAAGGGCTGATTACACACTGGGCGATAACAAAAAAGGCATCATGGTTTGTCTACGCAAAATAATAAAAAAAGCTGGGGAGTAACTGAAAATGAAGCGATGCAAAGAAAAACAAACGTGCCAATAAATAAAAACAGTTATAATTTCTGTTGTTTGTTCGTACCCTTAGTTGTTCTATCCAGTTACGGATTTCTAGAAAGGACTGTTCATTGGTAAGATCAAATAGAAGCAAAAATCCCATAGCGTCTCTATAGAAAGCCGTTGTTAAGCTGCGGAATCTAATATAAAAGTAATTAATACAAAACGCTGTTTATATCAGTACGTACGCACAAGCAAATAAGTGGGTTATCTTATGAATAATAAACAGGTGTTTTCATACTATTGCAGCATTAAAATGTTCAACTAAAACTAGGCTAATATGTAAATGATTTTATAGTGTTATCAATGGCAGTTTCGCCAATTTCAGCTATGAGGGAGAGAAACATAAATAATTTTAAATTAAGTTAATGAGACATATGTAAATCTGAATTAATAAAGTAAATCGTGGACTTTGTCAGTCATGCTTATAGCTAGTAAAACTTCAATATTTTTACCGTTTTACTGCCAATGAATTAATAAAACCTTACCTTTCTTGTCCAGCTGTGTCCCAAAGTTGTAAATGAATTCTGTGATTTCTTCCTTTCGACTGATAGATCTGAAAAAAAAACATTTAGGTACTATAAATTATACATCGTGTTTTACAATTTACCAATCTTTTTTCTCTGAAATCTATGCCCACTGTCGATATAAATCTGGAATTAAACATTCCATCTGTGTACTGGTACAAGAAGCTAGTTTTTCCAACCCCTGAATCCCCAAGGGCAAGGAACTTTATTAAATAATCGTACTCCATCCCTACAACAGAAAATAGGAAATATGGGAATATTGGTAATGCATTTGCGTACCTTTTACAAAAATTCAGTTCTTTTAAAGAATTTTAGGAAATTGTTTAACAACCTGTTGAGTACGTACAATGGAAGCTTGTGGATGTGATGGATTATTTTATTTTTACAGCTTTTTCTGAACCACCTGTCAGATCAGAATAGTGCTTGTTTGGTAGTTATAGAAGGGGTAAAGGGGTGGGTAGCGTAGTATGGATTTTAAATTCATATAATTCTTATTATACCGAATTCTCAATAGTTATAATTGTAGTAGGGCGACACTTATTTCTGCAATTTTTGTTTCTATTTTAGAGTCAAATAATAATTAATAATAGAATAGACTCATTTTTTTTAAATGTGCCCGAATTTTGGTATTGAAGTAAACTGATTTAAGAAAAAAACTATTTTTTTCCGAGGTGTAAGGTACAAAAAAAAGTACAAAGCATCAGTTGCAGATGAAAATATTTATTGTATATTTAACGAATTAGAACATACATCACATAATAGTAAATGTGTTTGGTTTAAAAATTCGATGTAATTTATGTACATTAGGGACTTTGTTCAACGTAAAAGTCGACATACTCTGATATAAAATTAAAGTTCAAACAATATAGACAATTGTTATGTAGATAAATTGGTAAATGGTGCATATTTAAAGGCGATTCAAAGCCAAGGTACTAACAATATTGGCGATACTTATTATAATATAATATCAGTAAAATTGTAATTATTTGAGGTCACTTTAAAGCTGCAGGTAGCATTTTTATTAAAAGTATTCGTAAAATGGGCAAAACATGCAGTAAGTACTTACTTTTCTAGAGAAGTCAAGGTAATCCTATCTTTTTACTGTTTTTGATTCACATTTTCATAAGGCAAAAAACAAGGAAAATATTCGATATAATGTAAGTATAAGAAGGTAGGTAAAATTTATTAAGCGACATCTTTATATCTTATCTTTCCTTCTGCTTGCTTAAATGCAAGTTCTGGTTTTTATTGTACTATGCATATCCGGCACATTTTACAAATATATTATTAGAACGAGAAAAAATGAGCATGGAATTTTGAGTTATATACAAATATTTGATTACGTATATACATAGAGATGATTATATAAATTGGTGGTGCTTTTTGATTAGGTGCTTTCATAGTGTTCAATAAATTCCATGCTATTCTGTACATTCTCCACGTACTGTAAAACTCGAGTAAATCTGTACTTTTTAATTTATTTTGTCCGTATTGTTACTGTATACGATTGTCATGTCTTTATGTAAATACTTTAAAACAAAAATTACAATTTTTTAAGTTTTGTGTTCAAGTAGTGGGCTTAATTAATGGTGTGCTATCTTCTACAACTTGGAAATCTAATAAAATGAAGATTTTATAGTGCAGTGGAGAGCGTACGTGTATAAGATTAAAATATAATATCTAATTTATCACTAACTACCGACTAGAAAAATTTTAATACAATAGTCATTAGAATAGGTAATTGTAAACATTAAATGATTATTAAAATTGGTTCAAAGCTGCTTGCTCAGTCTGTCATCACAGTAATCCGCTCTGCGTGCATGTAGCATGGCTACTTTTCCTAGACTAAAATCGCTCATATAAATTCTTAAACTATAACCTTTATCATGAGTATTATGTACATTGGGCTCTACTAGAAACAATGGCGATCTACTAAAATCGTGGAAGGAACACCTGTCAGCAACACAAGCGGAACAATTTTTTTTTACCTTTTAACGATTTTTCGTTCGCGAATGTGTGGTTTTATATAAATCACCCTGTACACCTGTAATATTTACACCGCAATTTCTGTTTTATTCCTTCCAAGTCTTAATAAATCTTTTAACAACGAAGTACACAATGAACTGAGCTGCCTTCGACGATGTTATTGGAATGTAGATAGTACTTTGAGTACTTATATCACTGTAGCATTATAAATATTTTTATTCAAACACACCATTAAATCTCTCGCATAAACCTCTTAATTTATTAACAATCCGTCAGTTTTCGACATAAAATCTTTTATATACCAGGGAAAATGTAAGAATATAGTTGATTATGACGAGATGACTAGAACATTAACTGATTTCAGTTAAGCGTTTGAGGATTTCTCCTGGTATATAATAACATAAATTAACAAGTATAACACTTTTATTTTAGCAATCTCAATAAAAAATAAATATAGGGGTAGTGTACATATTTTAGGGTAAAATAGGTATTTATTGAAATAAACGATAATCAGGTACATTTTACGAAATCACAAGATGATAATGTATAATGCGTGGTTGAAATATAAACAAAAATAAGAAAAGATCAATAAATATTCCTTCTTCTAATACAGGGTACAAAATATCTCTTTTAATATATGAACAGTATCATAAATATTTATTGAACTTTCCAAAATTCGTGAGATTAACTTATTTGTCTTTAAATAATAAAAATTAAATTGTCCATCTTGGCAATCGGTAACGAAAAATAGTTCCATCACATTTTTAAATAAGAGTTATAGATAAATAACGATCATTCATCTTAACATTAATGGTGTATTTTGTATAGAAACCCCTAAGAATAATAATTTATGATTTTTTATTGTTCCCTTTGAAATTCGGATAAGCTTGAACCATTTGAATTGAGTAAAGCGTTAAATATACACAATGACGTAATTTAAAGTTTACACACTAATCAGATTATACAGGGTCGGAAAGTCCCCATGGTTCATCGGCCGTTACGTGAGAGCGATAAAGAAAGTCATTGAAATCCGTGCGATAGAGAAAGATAGCTATAATGAAGGCGTCTAATAGTCACCGCCCGTTTCGCCCTTCCACAAATAAGATCCATCGGTGACTGCGGTGGTCATCTTTGTTTTCGTCGTTTGCTGCCTTTTCTGTAATAGATGTCACTACTTATACAATTCCCACTTCGTATTCCGATATGTTTATACAATCCGTTAACAGAGGGCAGCACAATTCGTCTAAGGTGAGGCGCAGCCCTAGAAAGAGTGATGCCAGATATACAGATTTTTTTTGGAATTGGGGAAATAGGGAATTTTGCTTTATTTCTTGGGATTTTTAAGTCATTTTAAAAAGTATACTTAAATAACAACTACAGACGAGCCGGCGAAGCAAGAAGAGCGCCAGAAGAAAGGGCCCTAGCCGGCGGGGCCCAGCCAGGACAAAAGGAGGTCCCACAAAGCGCCTACACCGGCCGCATTTGCGGTCGGGGTAGACGACGGATGGGGCCCACCTACGAAGGCTGTCCAGGCCTACACGAGATGAGGCAGGATAAAGAGGGATAATCCCCCTCGATCCCAAATCATTGAGGCCAATTTCTAGCCATGGAATAATGGCGCGAATAACAACTAAATGAACTTTAAATGCAGCTGAGCACTATACTCCATTCGAATAACTTCTCAGTAGGGGAAACAAGGTCACTAGATTTACAAACAGAGGTATCTACTAGCTACTGTAAAAAGTTTTCTTTGTTACGCGTTGTGCTGCCCTCTGTTAACGGATTGTATTAACATATCGGAATGCCGAAGTCGAAATTGTATAAGTAGTGACATATATTAAAACCAAAACCAAACGATGAAAACAAAGATGACCACCGGTCGCTGAATTACAAGTGGAAGTGGATCTTATTTGTGGAAGGGCGAAATGGGCAGTGACTATTAGACGCTTTCATTATAGCCATCTTTATCGCACGGATTTCTATGACTTTCTTTATCGCTCTCACGCAACGGCCGATGAACCATGGGGAGTTTCCGACCCTGTATAATTCAGAACATTCGAGAAAAACATGTTTCTCTTTAGTTATATAGATCAAGAATCAAGAATTGCGTTTATTTGGCAAATATGTACTGATTTGCTTTAAATATAAAATAAACTATAACATAATTGGAATTGGTAGAATCCAATATTCTCGCTTGCATTGGGTTCAAAACAAAATTCCACTAGACACAAGTGGATACTTATATTTTAGGGGTTTTTATAAGTAGTAAGTAGTTTTAATATTTTTATATTACGATCAACAAACGTCATCCGCGAATTGGTAATATCACAATATATAATAATGTAATTGCAGTTTTTTTTTCCATACAATATTAAAAACTACCTAATAGAGAATACGTGTAAGGGTATACATAAATTATCTTGAAAATATTTCTTTATGTACAGTGCTGATACAGCTACACGTTTTGCGAACCATTATGCAAAAATTGCAAAAAAATTATATTAAAACTGTAAAATACTCAAGTACACTATATTTAAGTACACTGCCATTCACTGGTAGTTTAAGAACTATTGATATGTACTTAGGTATTACCGTCCCAGGTTATCACTTAGTCGTTATTAGTTTCGTGCGTGCCATTTGTGAAGCTTTTGTAGTGGTAGAAGAAGAAAATCAGGAAAACCGCGAACGCTGTCGGGAAAGTTATCCTGGCGATCACGTCGATAGTCTTTGCCACTCGGATAGGGTGCGGGGGCTCCTTTTTTCTCACCTGCAATACACATGCCTACTCAAGGTTAGACTATTTTGAAAATGGAATTAGTAAAACACCGCTACACAGTCAGTACTAAGACTACAACTGCAAGAATACGTCATTTAAGGATAAAACACGTGTCTTCCAACAGCAGCAGCAGTGACGGCTACAAGTGGCAGCAGCAGGCGGCAAGCACAATAAATAACAATCGCTACAACAAATAACAATGCTGTCTGCTGCCACTGACTACTGTTGGAAGAAAAAAAAAACACTTTTGATGTGACATCATTTCATATTTGTTAGGAAGGAATTTAACAATGATGTTGCGACAAACTTTTAAGGTCGATTCTTCTCATTAAAACAACACAAAAATAATTAGTAATAATTTTTTCTAAAACGCAGCTTTAGAGTAGTTTTTCAAGGACTATTGAAGTTATAGATTTTAAATAGTTTTTTTATAAATAAAGCTCTTGTTTTAGGAACAATATAACTATTTTTTTTATTGTTTGGGCAGGAACCTGACCTAAAAGTTTATAGCGATTTACAAATCTCTGCATCTAGAATATCCAAAGACATAAAGCTCTTCTAGAATATTTAACGATTTCGTTTGATCGTTCATTATTGCAATTGTAACTACATAGCAGGCTTCTACTCTACTCCTAAAAGAAATTGAGAATTTACCTCAGCGCAACCGTTGTTGGCAGCATGGGTGCAAGGATTTGGTCCACAATTGGTGCAAGAGACGATTTCATTGGGCACTGTCGATTCCCGCTTTTTGTCGCCCTAAATCAAGAAATAAAGATCTAGTAACACTGTAATCATCAGTCGCTCGGGGTGTTGGGATTAGTTAAAGATTAGTTAGAACTGTACAGTTAGTTGAACGGTGTCCAATCAATGAAATATAGCTTGGGGGGATTGTAGTGGGATATGTATAATTTCGATGAAATTGTTGATGATTCGTTTGTTAATTAATCGTTGAAATATCAAATTATAACGAAACGTATGTTATTCTCATTGAAGTAAAGTTTACTACTTATATTTCCATAATAACTGGCATTATACTGTTTACGGTATTTGGCATAGACGTGATTGGAATGCCAACAGAAAACCAAAATTTTTAAATCCAAATGTGACAAATTATTCGAATATGTATCACTAAAGTAATAAAAATGGTTACAAAAATTCTGACTATAGCAGTTCAACACACAAAGATTCAAATCATAAAGGTCACTAAACAGGGTGATTTATTTGAATATGGCAAGTATAAAAAGGATGAATATCCCTACAAAGGGAGGTGTATGCAGTCAAAGTTGTAATGTTGCTCCCAAATTATGTTTATTATATTACCGTTAACTTGTGTTAATACTTTATTGTCAGAAAAAAGTTGCAACTCTTAAGACACAATAGTCTTGAGAAGTAAAAGTTGCTATTGTTACACTTTAACATCATAATCTTGTTTAATCTGTGACACACACTTGGCGAGTGGTTCTATAATCTTTCTCAATTATATGTATTGTATTAACTGACTACAATCGAATAGTAGCCCACAGGCGTATCATTTGGAGGAGTTATACAAAGAAAATAGTATTAATGCGTTTTAAAAGTTTACAGGTGGATTTTTTCGTCCTATATTGCCGGATTCCAATAAATCACCGTGTCTGTTCTATATACAGTGTGTCCCGGATATGATCTGCACTCTTGCAAACTTTTTTATTATTGATTTGTCGAGAAATAATTATTCTTGATAGAAAGTTTCGCTTATCTTGGTAAGGAAATATCCATGGTAATTATATGGTATGTAAGATAGTAAAAAATTGTGGCGTCTTTTTATTTGCTAAATGTGGTTATTGTTCTTTTCTAACTAAACTCCGTATTTCTTGAATTCTCGAACAACTTTGTTAAATACAGTTTTTAACAAAAAAATTAAATATTAAAGGCACTTTGGTTAGGGAAAATTTCACATTTTGAAATTTTTTGGCGCCCTATGTTTTATTACAATTATTACATATTTTATTGCTGCCTATGGCTTCTCAAGATAAGCAAACCTTTTTATCAAGAAGATATAAAAAAGTTTACAAGAGTCCGGGGACACACTGTATCTTTATTTGGTTATTTAAGACTTTTCCTGTATTTCTTTATGTAGAATTATGAATGGCATAATTTTTTTCTATATTTCATTGGAAGTACACATAGGAAAATAACACCAATCGTAAAGACAATTTTAGCATTTCCAAATGCAAATTTTTATCGCAAAAACTTACTCTCATTCGGGGACTTTCACAGAATGTGGAATAATATTCTTGTTCTGCAGTCTCCTAATAATTAAAACAATATATTGTGACAAAAGTGAAATGTACCTTCAGTTTAGACACAAATAAAACAAACTATAATGTTTCTGATGTTAGGTAGCGCGGGTTAGTTTTTTATTTCGGGTTTTCTGATGTCAATGAACTGATATTGGTCTGGACGATGAAGCTTTACTTTTTGTGCAGTCTACATCTATATCTATAATATTTATAACATGCAACCATCCTTAATGTATATTATAAATGTTCTGATGAAGGTCAAAGATAAAAACGAAACAAATGGTCGGTGTATAGCCCTTCTTAACATACCTGCCAATTTTTAAGTACCTAAGTCCCTAAAAATACATGGGACATGGAAAAATAATATATATAACCAGTTTTTTTTATTCAAAACTACTTAAACTACGTATTTTGTCGACCTCGTACAAAGATAGTATACAGAGTCTTTCTTTTTGCTGTCGCTGTTGCCAGATATAAAACAGCACTGTAAGGAATGAAAAACTTATGAATATGGTTCTCATTTTAATAAGAATCAATTTTAATTCTACTTAATTAACTACAAAGCTTCTTGTGTTATCAAGTGATTTGTCTGCCTAGTTATACGTTTGAAAGCATGATATAATTGTAAAATATGGAAACTGACAGAGCAATTTGATTTAACTAAATACAATTAAGCATAGTTTTGGACGGATGTAAGGAATTTGCTACTGATTTTATCCAAAAATAGCTGTAGCACAAGAAATAAAGCAGACTACTAGATTTTCTTTTAAAGAGATCGGCAGTATGTGACCATATTTTTAATTTTTATAACATCCAGTTTTTTTTTCTGTTAAAATGGCAATGAAGAAATAGAAAAAGTGAAAGAGAAAACAAAGAAACGAACGATGCAGTGTCATTCAATCAATATCTTAATTGCCATTGCTGTTTTTTTGGTAAACAAAATTGGAGATGAATAACAGTATGAGAAGTAGATTATACATAGTTACATTAGATATGAATTATTGATTTGATATAATTAGTAAAAATCAAGTATCCTCAGATCTTATATACAGGGTAGCCCATCGAAAACGTACCGCAAGGCATTACAGGGTAGTAATGAACTTTTCGGCAAAATCCAAAAACAGGTAAAGTTTGCTTCTGAGGGGGACAACTTTTGGCGCAAAAAGCATAGCAAAATCTTCAACCCCCTAAGTGGGGGTGCCATCCCCCAAATTTTTTTAAATGGGAATGGGGGTCAAGTGGGGGGTCATTAGAAAGGGCTTTTAATTCTCTATACATCGATTCTTACTTTTTGAAAATCGATCCATTATTTTAGAAAATATGCAGCTTTGAAAATACGAACAATATTTTTGACGAGAAATGCGAAAATCGATTTAATTTTACTTCAAAACTTACGGTATTAGCTTGGTAAATTCCTTCAAAAGAATTCGCTGTTTTTTTTTTTCTGATTTGCGAATTCTTTAGCCTGATTTTGGTGAGCAAAAAATTGTCCGCTTTTTGTTTCGTATTTAGATAGGCCACAAGAAGTTGCTAGATAACTGTCTTGTGACTTGTAGTTGAAGAGTACCAATACTGCCGAGTCTTTTAAATTGATTAATTATGGTGTACTCAATTCCAGAAAGAGTAGAAATTATTGAGCTTTTTTTCAAAAACAATGAATGCGGAAATCGGGTCGCCGAACTGTTCAACCAACGGCATCCTGAGAAACATGCGTCTGGAAAAATTGTTCGCGAATTGGTGGCCAAATTTCGCGAAACTGGCTCCGTTCATAACAAAAAGAGGCAGGTTGAAAATCCGGTACTAAATGAACCTACGGAAATAGCGGTATTGGGGCAAGTGGCAATGGATAGTACGCTGAGTACAATGCAATTGGCTACTGCGACAGGAGTGAGTCGTACAAGTGTCCAACGAATATTAAAAAAATACAAATTCCATCCTTATAAGATTCGGCTAGTGCAAGAGCTAAATGAAGACGATTTTGATCGTCGTTTGCAATTTTGCGAAATAATGACTGAACGAGCGATAAACGATAATTTCCTCTTTAATGTGTGTTTTTCGGACGAGTGTACGTTCTTCTTGAATGGTTTAGTGAATCGCCATAATTGTCGTTACTGGGCTGATACCAATCCAAGGATTTTCCATGAGACACACTCCCAACACCCCCAGAAGTTGAATGTATGGGCAGGTATTTTTGGAAATTCCATTGTAGGTCCTTTTTTCCTTCCTGGAAATTTGACAGGCGATATGTACTTGGATTTACTACAAAATGTCATCGACCCAGCTCTAACAAATATCATAGAGGACGACCCTGCTTACAATGAACACGAACTGATTTTCCAGCAAGACGGAGCTCCTCCACATTACTCGCTCAATGTGCGCAATTACCTAAATGAGACGTTTCCAGGACGCTGGATAGGACGAAGAGGTGCAATTGAGTGGCCCCCTCGGTCACCCGACTTAAATCCTTTAGATTTCTTTCTCTGGGGGCACATTAAAAGCAAAGTTTACAGCACTCCACCTGATACCTTGGAAGATCTGCGAGGACGAATCATTAATGTATGTCGCGAAGTAACACCGCAAGTGCTCCAGAATGTTCGACAACGGTTTGAAGACAACCTGTATCATTGTATGCAAGTTGGCGGACAACATTTTCAGCATTTACTTGACTAATACCGTAAGTTTTGAAGTAAAATTAAATCGATTTTCGCATTTCTCGTCAAAAATATTGTTCGTATTTTCAAAGCTGCATATTTTCTAAAATAATGAATCGATTTTCAAAAAGTAAGAATCGATGTATAGAGAATTAAAAGCCCTTTCTAATGACTCCCCACTTGACCCCCATTCCCATTTGAAAAAATTTAGGGGATAGCACCCCCACTTAGGGGGTTGAAGATTTTTGTAATGCCTTGCGGTACGTTTTCGATGGGCTACCCTGTATGTGTTACTTTGATATGTGTCTGTCCAATATGTAGCATGTCCCAAAAGTAGTACCATAGCTAAGGTATCATAAGATTATTAAAAAATAGAAAATACTAACAACGAAAAAAATATTTGACTACAGTAAAGGTTCCAATTATCGACCACGACCACGACCACGAATTATCGACATAGTATTTAAATTTGTAACTAAAATAAGATATGTATGTATGAAACATTTACTATGATTTAAGCAAATTTCCCAAACTGCTATAACTGCTATCATACTGAAAAATGTTTATAATTTGTTTGATATTTTGGCAATCCAATCTTTTACCTAGAAACTCTTTCCATGTTTATTCTTTTAGATGGCCTTTCCGCAATACCTTCTTCACAACATTTTCTACCAAAAAGGTTTATATAAAGGTTTATATTTTTCATTACTACCCGTTTCAGTCCACAGCCTATGCTACGACTTTTGGAACGTCCAGTATTGAGTAGGAGAGAGTGAGTAAAACTGATCATGCGATGCGTATGAACGAGACACGCATGCGCATGCAGGGAGAACTAGGGTCAGGCCTTGCAGTGCTCTGTGCTAGGCTTGAGATGCGGTTCGGGGTGGGGGGATAGCTTAGCTAACGTAACCTAGGCTTACCAAGGGACTGGCCAGTATAATGCCTATCCTGCTGAGTACAGCGGGCAGTCGCTGCAACATGACAGACCAAACAACGTACAATCTTATGAGGAGAGCCACTGACAAAAGCTTTTCGGGCCACTCGCCCTAATCCACAATTTACGTCATTAGAATTTGGACATGCTCAAACTGTGGCGGCCAGACATGTCAGATGACCGTGGGGTATACTGGGTACGGAATTTACAGACAATTTGGGGTCCTGCTAGGGCGACAGCGACTGAGTTCCGAATGGTGGTAGGTTTCTCGAGTTAAATACATAGGGGTGCGTATGTTCCGATAATATAAGGGGTGATTCCTGGGTTAGTTTCAGAGTTATAGGATGGTACATTTTAGAAGAAAACGAAATAGTCTATGTAACAGAATCTGGAGGAGAAAATTTACTGAAATTTTAGACGTAGATATAGTCCAGGCAAGTTAAACGAAAATCACCCAGAATACGGAGATTTTTTTCTGATGAACCGATCGAGTTGCGGTTTTCGGCATTGTCTTCGGAAAAATATCAGGAAAAAAGTCTATCTGTTACACATTGGGGCTGGATCGAAACTGCATTGCGGGTGCATAAAGTGCATCTTGGAGTGCATCAATTTTTCCGAATTTTAAAAAAATGGTAAAAATTGAGTAAAAGTTGTAAAAATTTGTGTGTACGGGGTCGGAGGTTCCGAATCTGACCCTGAAAAATATGCCCGACGGCTCTGGGGCCCCCCAGGGGGGCAAGGGGGAGCTTCTGTAAAACATCGAATAGCTGAGTAATTGCCTTCTAAATTTCTACTCGGGAGTTTTCGCGGTCGGGGATTCCGAATCTGACACTAGAAAATATCCATTAATCTCAATCTTGTCTATCATTGAGAAAAATTATCGCAGAATTGGAGAAATCCTGGACAATCCGTTCCCAAGAGATACATATCGTTAAATCAAAGAAATATTCCTTAAAACCGAAGAATATTTCATGGATCATGGATTTTCAAAAGAATCTCTTGGGCCCGTGCGATTACGGATAATGCATAACAATTAGGCGACAAAATGCGATTATCGACAATGCAGATCTTGTGGGTGCAGGAAGCATGGAATTACATGCACAATTCATGTACAAATTGTTTTGGAACCAACTGTTCCAATCCTGAAATAGTCGAAAATGTAATAGATGATAGTGATGGAGACAGTGATGACAGTACTGATGATGAAAATTGTGATTGATAGTGAAATGTTAGATAAACATATGATAGTAGTTGTCTCACTAATTGCCTTGCAAATAAAAAGAAAATTGGTTCTCAGAATAAAGGGGATTCTTTTCGACTCATTAATTTCCTGTTAGTTTTTCTTACCCTTCTTGTCTAATCTCTGTAAATTTACGTGTGTTACAATGTAATGATGAGCCTACAAGATCATGGTTGGTAAGCAGGTGGAGCAGTTTTATTACAAAAATCGCATGTGCCTTTCGATGTTTCCCAGAAAGCCTACCCCACGGGTTAGGTATACTTTTCAGTGTCAGAATCGGAATCCCCGACCCCGAAAACCCCTGGGTGGAAATTTAGAAGGCAATTACATAGCTATTCGATGTTTTACAGAAGCCCCCCCCCTTGCCCGCCCTGGGGGGCTCCAGGGGGTCGGGCATACTTTTCAGTGTCAGAATCGAAATCCCCGACCCCAAAAACCCCAGAGTGGAAATTTAGAAGGCAATTACTAAGCGATGTTTTACAGAAGTCCCCCCCCCTTTCCCCCTCTGGGGGGCCCCAGGGCCGTCGGGCATATTTTTCAGGGTCAGATTCGGAATCTCCGATCTCGAAAACCCGTGTATACAAATTTCTACAACTTTTAGTCAATTTTTACCATTTTTAGAAAATTCGGAAAAATTGACGCACTCCAAGATGCACTTTATGCACCCGCACCCGTAATGCAGTTTCGATGCAGCCCCAAAGTGTAATAGATCGACTTTTTTCCTGATATTTTTCCGAAGACAATACCGAAAACCGCAACTCGATCGGTTCATCAGAAAGAATTTTCTGATTTATTGTCTAACTTGCCTGGTCTAATAACAGTATATTTATTGAGAAAAAAATAGTCCAGTCAAATTAGAGTTTGAACATGAAAAAAATATTAGTAGACATTTTATCTCGGCTCCTATTGGTCGGATCGATACGCTTTTTTTCTTAATTCATGTTTTTTTATGGACTATTTGATGCAATTGGTTTAAAATCTGCATATTAAAAAATCGCCGAGAAAAGAACCCTAGTTACTGTTTTTTTTGTATTTTTGTTAATAACTTTTTTCTTTTGTAACTTAAAAATCCGAAATTTATACAGACGCGAGATAATGTAATTACCTTTCGATCCTTTTTTGCCAAATTTCGATATCTTGACTTGGGCAGAAGATATACGCTCTCGCGATTTCAACTTTATAATTTTGCAATAGTCTGCCATTTTGAAACTGAGGGTCCGGACTGTGGGTATTTGTTGAGCACCCCAAGAGTTATCTTTTCCTTTACTTTCATCCAATTTCAGTCAAATTTATTCTTTTTATTTAATTCTGAAATAATTTGGCACATTTTTTTTTCACTGCTAATTTTGCAATGTAAAAAAAAATTGTAAGCTTTCGCAAAAGCCTATCCTTGTAGAAAATAGAAAAAGAAACAAAATCGATAAGTATACCTCATGTTCATTAGAGGCTTATTTTCGGAAATATAAACGAAAAACTGAAAAAAGAGCAATAATTTTTTTTCTTTTGTTATAAACAATATGACGCTCGACCTCTACAAATACACAAATTTGTTCTTTGTATTTTTTACTTAATTTTAAGCACATAAAATTCGAGTTAGGCCCGATTTTCGAAACAGACATGTGTTTGGTCTAATTCTCCCGGATTAATAAGTGGCAAATTTAAGTGTTTTTTCACTTTTCTTACTGCCCACAAAAATCTATACGACCTATCGGAAAATTAGTCATTTCATGTTGTAGGCAATTAAATTACCTACGACGAGGCGTAAGTGATTTCTTTTTTTTTAAATTACAATAAAAATAAGCTCTATTTAATTCAAAAAGAGCGAATTCCCGAGCGGCTTTTGCCTGACCCTTGTTTAAAACGCTATTTTGCACGCTCCACTTTGTTACTTATAAAGACCTACTTAATTTAAACTTTTTGAAATTTTCTTTTTCGATACGTTTCTTTGGATCAATTAGAACCTATATCTACGATATTAACTTCTAAAATTAACGTTTAGTAATTAAACAATTAGTTGCAAAAAGACGAACGATATTAATTAACAAACAGCCGGAGCAACAATTTCACGGTCGATTGAAGCGGCGTTTGGTATACAGGTTCGTAAAGTCCCCATGGTACATCGGTCGTTACGTGAGAGCGATAAAGTAAGTCATAGAAATTCGTGCGATAGACAAGGATGGTTACATTGAAGACTTTTCATAATCTGAATAGTCAGTCCCACTTCTAACCCGAAATGGACGGTGACTATTTAGATTATGAAACGTCTTCACTATAGCCATCCTTGTCTATCGCACGGATTTCTTTACTTTACTTTGTCTCTCTTATGTAAAGGCAGATGGGCCATGTGGATTTTCCAGCCCTGTATATTATGTTGGTCATTGGATTGACCAATTTCTTCGAATTAACTGAGAAATCGCCGCCATTATTATCGGACCACCCTGTATATATTAACAGTTTGAGTCAAATGAGAAATAAATAGGAGAATGTATTCAGTGGCTGTAGAAAATCATTTGTTTTTAGTCAAAGGATTTGACAGAAAGTTCAGTGTTTGCTAAAAGAGTCCTGTTCGTAGAACAGTTTTCTTAAATTTCTAACTATTGGAAGAGTGTATTTTGAATTTTTGAGGTACCAAAAGGGATATAAGCATGCCTACATCTTCAGTAGGTGGTTGAAAACTGATCTAACAACAGGGCTAGTATTAACTTCAGTTTTAGCTGGTAACAAGCATGCTAAATAAAGGTAATAAATCTGTTCGAAAATGTAATTTATGGGGTTGAGGGACTATAATAGCTACTGGAAACTACAGTAAAAATTAATTTAAACGTAACGAACTGGATGGGTCACCCCAGAGTCATGTGACATGATGTGACACAGCGATGTTAAAAAATACGATTTCGCTTTCTTAGTTATATACAGAACATTGTCCTGCGTAAGTTGTTAGAATCGTGTATGAAGTTACGGTGTTACTAAGTATCTGTACAAGACATCAAAGTGAAAAGGAAGGAACTATGTGAATTTTGGAGCTAAATATACCTTAAAAATATTTTTGGATATTTACAGGACTGTTCAGCTATGTTTACAAGTTTACTAAACTACATTTTCTAGTTTCTTCTCTTAATTTTCTACTATAGCTCTAAGTAGGTCGGCATTGTCAAGTTGTTTTTGTTTAAAAAAACTCTACGGAATCTCAATGAATTAGATTGAAGTCGTTGGGCGAACAAGAACAACATGAAAATACCATAATAAAATCATTTTACGATCTATTGGAAGAAAAAACCTACTCTAACTCTGTAAGCTGTAACTACTAATAGCTCAGTTATTGTAGCTGAATATATAGTAATACCTGCGAAATTTTTATAACTGCATCAATTTTTCTCAAAATTCAAAACTTATATATGCGCTAGGTGTGCTTTTGTTCTTAAGGGGTGAAAAAAAAGAAAAAATACAAATTTAAGCATTATATGTAATAAAATCTTTTTTATTTGTGCAGTATGAGTAATTTCATGTGCTATCCAACGTGAAACTTAATGCATCTCAAATTTTCAACCCGGAAAAACTTTAAAAAACCACCCCTTTGGATGAAAATATTAGAAAAAATTTTTTTCAACTTGAAACGTTTTAATCATGCATTTTTATCAAATTAAAATTGATTTTTTAATCAAGAAATCGATTGCAACTTTTCAACCCTTGAAAAATACCACTTCTTTCGAAAATAAAATGAAAAAATATTATTGAAAGAGTAAAAACATTTTAAATGTGCATTCGTATTAAATAAACATTTATTCCCTTCTTATAAAATAATTTTGAATTGATTGCAACTTTTCAACCCTTAAAAATTATAATTTTTTTTTATATGTAAATGATTATTAGTCGTCACTGCTATTCTCTTCACAATCATGCTCGTCCTCTTCGATGATTGGACGAGAATTTAGGCAGTTGTTGCCAGAGCATGTTGCACATGTCGAAATACGTATATATACAAAAAAGATCTAAATGCTTAAAAATTATAATTTGACCTAAATTTTCTAAAATTATCACCTATATACGTGTTTATTTTTTTGACGATAACTTTCTTATTTTTTAAGATTTTTAATCGTACAAAGGCTCATTTTGCAGGGGATTGTAAGGGCTACGTGAACTGTTGAGTTGATCTTTAGTAAGCCCTTCATTTTTAAGTTTGAAGGGTTTAAAGGGCTCGAAAAGGGTGGTCTCTCATTCATATGATAACTTAAAATGGCGATATCTCGATTAATATTAATTTTAGAGGAATACAAATAAAAAGCAAAATCTTCAGCAAAAATAAAGCTAAATTTTTTAATTTTTGTATTTTTTTCGTACACACTTTAATTTTTAAGTTACAGTGTAAAAATCGAATATTTTTCAAAAATTTGAAAAATTAACATTTTCAAAAATTAAGTTTTTTTTCGAAATCATGCTTTGTAAGTGAGCCAAAGACCCAGAACATATTCTTAGAACATAAATGAAGAAATCTGTAAATGGATTGCATTTAATTTTAATTCTGTCGCTTGATTTTTTCTTAAAAAAATGAGACTATCATGTTATTTCGATCATATTTCCGTTAATTTTGATTCTAAAGACTTTTAAAACAGCTCATTTTAAAGGTTTTTCAAAGTACTTTAAAAAAAGTTCATAGTTTTTTTCCTAATATTTATGGTTTTGGCGTTATTTAACGTTAACTGGTTCCAATTTAGTTTTTAGCTAACATAAATAATGTTTAAAAATACATAACTCGGTTTATATTGTAATTAGAGAAAAACAAAATAATGCCATTAGATTTGTTTTTTTATTACCTTTCTTTTTGTTCATTCCAATTTTTTCGGTAAATCCAATGGTTTCAGAGTTATTTGCAAAAAACTGTCCGAAAACAAGCACTTTTTCAGTAAAAAATCAACATTTTCAATGACGAATTACACGGAAAGTATTGGATTATCCAAAAAACTTTATACAGGGTGGTCCAAACTTTATGCAGGAAACTTCGAGGGTAGATAGATCTCTTTAAAATAATATGTGTTTGCCTTATAAACATAGGTCTGGAACGGCCCCGTTTTAGAGATACAGGGTGTTGAGGTTTTAAAAAAAATTGATTTTTTGTTTATATCGCACACTACCTCACAGGTGATGTAGAAAGGAGTGTAAATAATTTTGTTGATGTGCTTTCAAATTGCACTTACTTTTAAACATAAACAAATAGTCTTGTAATATTATCGTTAGAAGTGTCTGCCACAAGGGGATTGTATTGGTATGAATAACTTGAGAACGGCGAATCTTAGGGAAAAAATTAAAGTCACCTTTTTTACGTGTTTTGTGCTTTAAAATATAAATCAGTTACAATGACATGTAAAAAATGCAGTGGCGTAGATTTTTTTGTAAAAAAGAGGGTGACCCCTGTCCAGTTGTACACCACTGGTTGAACCTTTAAAGCTCATATTTCAGGGAATATAAGGCTTACTATCATACATTATATGTACCAAATTTTATTGAGATTGGTTAATAGATTCCGGAGATATAAACAAAAAATAAAATTTTTTTGACAAATTCAACACCCTGTATCTCTAAAACGGTGCCGTTCCAAACCTATGTTTATAAGGCAAACACATATTATTTTAAAGAGATCTATCTGCCCTCGAAGTTTCCTGCATAAAGTTCGGACCACCCTGTATAACATTTGTTACTTAAAATTGACTCCTCTATCGATCCCTGTGGTTATTTTGGGCGTAAAAATTTCCACCCCCAAGAAGGGGTGGGAACCACCCTCATGGCAAAAGCACATTTCGGCACTATATAAGTTTTGTTCCTTGAAGCATTCCCCACATTCAGTCAAAATTTCACGTCAATCGGTTTATTTATAAAGAATTCGGAGGTAAAAACCTTGAGTAACTGGACTATAAATTACTTATTTCGTTTTAGAAACCTCCAACTTACAGTGGAAAAAAATAACCTCGCAACAGAGTAAAATTACTTTTTCAAGAGGTATATTTTCTAAATTTATATCTCCGAAGAAAAATCAAAACCGCGTTATTATTTTAGCATACATTGTAAATTTTTCTGTTAATTACACGCATTCTGATTAACTTATATCATCAACTTATATAATTTGATGGGTTTGCGGAAAATTTGAATCGAGGTCCCAAAGCGGTGTGGTGGATAAAATTTTGCATATTTTTGAGGTATATTAAAGTCATACATCGAGCATGCATCTCTAATAACATGCAAAGAGAAGAAAATAGAATATAGAAAAATTGCAAGAAGTGTATCAAACAGACACCGTCACACAACTGACACAAAAAGTGGTTCTTTAAGCTAACATGATATGATCGACTGAATATTATTTACATTAATGTTACGTCGGCTTCCGAAATTGAATGTTAGAGTAAGGAATATTAATTCCACATAGGACTTTGTATGTACATACATCAGAGTTAGGTTGTTATTGCGTTCGAATAATTAGAAAATGAAAAGATAAAAATGCGGGATATCTTTCAGAAGGGGCAAATGTCATGCGTTTTCTGAAAACTGTACAAGGCGGTCAACAAAGTGAGGTTAAGTATTTATTTTCTGTCACTAGAAGAACCCAGCGAATTTAACTTTATAGTAGGTACATACATTTTTATTTACAATTTTTTTACGTAATATACAGGGTGTTCTAATATTCGGTACATGGAACTGCCACAGTTTCCAAAACCAACCTGCTAATAATTTTCTGGGGGATTTTGTTATACCTAGATTCTATTTTTTTTTAAGATGAAGTTGCCCCTCGCTATCAATAAAAAAATAAAAAATCATAGGGATTTAAGTCAGGTAAACGTGGTGGCTAGTGAACTGGAACATCGTGTTTCCAGCTTATCCATTTGTCTGACCATTTAAGGAGGTATATCGGGGTCCGAGGGAAGTGAGGAGCGCAGGGGGGAGGGGGTCCTATGCTTTTCTTATGGGACCAAAACCCGCTGCCAATTTGAAAAAATTAAATTCTATTGAAATTATTTGCGTTAAACATTATCTATATAGCAAAGAAATCTACTCATACGCACATAGCATACATATTGACTAATTAACAACATAAAAATATCATATTTAAGCAGTTTTAAATTATATTTAATGAACGCATAAAGATTATGTAGATGTGGCAACAGCGCTAATAATTGACTAGCAGTTGTACATACTGCGAACCTACAGACCTCGGACATCGGAGATATTGCGCGTCAAATTCGGGTAAAGATGCGTACGCGTTCAAAAATGTATTGTGTGTAAACTATGTACAATATAATTATTATATATAGCAAATATATCGTATTATCCTCGCGAAGATTTGTATCCTTTATTTAAAATCCGTAAATCATGTGAACTGGTAAAACAACGAGAATTATGTTAATTTAGTTCTAAAGAAATGAAATGACACTCGCGCCCATCTCTCGTCCAAGTCAAAGAAAATGTTGGATGCAATTTTGAAGGTTCTGTGATAGAAATTACATTATTACTCACTGTTCGTGTTTTTAATCTCTATTTTAGTAATGTTACAAAAGTTTTGCAACTATAACTAATTTTTTAGATATAAAGTTTGCTGAGAAATATTTATGTTCCTTTGTTATTCCGTACAAATGCTTTTATCTCAAGTATTACTAATTATATTAATCAAGTAAAGAAAACTTTATGTAACCCTAAATATTGCTGGGTAATGATTACGATGTTTTTATAAACCATTAAATATATTAAAAGGATTTATCAACTGTATTTTTTATTCCAATAAATATATCACAGCTTCCTAGTCTTTTTTAATTAATCTAGTTTTTTAAAAACATTACAAAAAATCATCTGTTGTGGATAATTTATTGTTGATAACAATGTACATGGGATTTAGGAAAAATGTATATGTTTGAAATCAATTTCGTTTTTATCAAGTCTTTCAAATGTATTCCCTCCTTGCTGTCAGCTGATTGCGACGTTGCCACATTAATCCTCAAGTCAGACAGAAATGCAATTATTGGTTTCTGTTTCTAATTAATACAGCTGTACTATGTTCAAAACTTACATTAGTTTTACATCAAAAATAAGATAATACTGTGTACTATCTATGGAAAAGTTTTGTTTCACAATTTCTACATTTTTTTCTCAGTTATGGGCAAAAAAGAGTCGCACCGTTCATCTTCGCCATATAAACCTATGTTAAAATGAACAACTTTCAACAATATCTCAAAATCTAGATTTGAGTAAACCCGGTATACCTCCTTAATTGTTCTCATACATTGTGACTGCAGTGCAGTGGTGCTCCCTTATGCATAAAATACAGGGTGTTTCAATTAAATCTTCCCACCTGGAAAATATCGGAATTAAAGAAAAAAAACAAAAAAAACCTGAGACTAGGGGGAGACACGTGATGGCAGTATTTTGCAGAAAATTTAAACAACTGCTACCATCGAGACGATTTGGTAATCTTATAGCAGCAAGCAGAAAATTACTGATAAAACTAATCCACACATGAAGTTTAGTTAAATTTACTTGTTTTGGTCTCAGGGAGCTATAGTAACTAGTGAACACAAACTATTGGAACACTCTGTACTACTTATGTAACTGCATTTCATTATCTGTACTAGCTGAGCACTTTTTTTCTATAAATTATTAAAAATTTTCATCCTGATCTGACGATTCGGTCACTTCCAATAGCAGACAGTAACTTAACCTCAATAGTGTCGACCACCCAGCGAAGAACCCCTAGCAGATACACACATAAGAGCATAAATCCATTAAAAAATGTCCGAATTAGTAGCAAAATGAAAATCATGAAGTATATTCCAGCGTACTGACCTGTGTGACAGGATTTTCTCCCGGCCTGTATACGACGTTGTGGAGGGGCCTTTTGCGCCCCACGTAGTTCACGCACACGAATTCTAACAATGATGCGTAAATGAAACACATGCACACTCCGTCCCAGACATTCATCGCGGTGAGGTTCGATACGACAGGTAGCGTGGAACGGAATCCATTTGAGGTTGTGAAAAAATTGAGCATTGTTGTTACACCTGCAACAGAAAACAGATGTGAATTAAAAAACATGGAAATTGTACAGTTACCTCAGGATTTATGAAGTATTTTATTATGGGAGAAGGAATCTTAGCCGCCACTTACTGGGAAGGAAATAATTTTTTCAATATAATTATACAGGGTGTTAATGAACTTATGTCAAAAATTGAAAGGGGTGAAAAAGGAGCAAAAACTGAGTTAACTGATGTCACAAACTTGTATCGGAAGTTTAAGGTCATAGAGAAAAAAGTTAATTAAAAATGAGTTTAAAACTGTTTTGGAAGTGCTGAAATACATGCTCACTTTTTTGGGACAGAGTGCGACTTTCTAAACATACTTTTCCCGTTCGCTTCATAGGCCGCGGCAGCCTAGTTAGATGCCCCCGCCACTCTTTTTGTGGGGATATGTGAAAAGTGTTGTGTATTCCAAATTCGTGACATCGACCAACTGCGACATCGTATTAGCGAATTGGATACGTCGCGCTGAAGCTTGTGTGCAAGCAAATGGTGGGTACATGGAACATTTTCTATGAAAATCAGCAGTTCTCAAAATTTGACATAAGTACATTTAAACCCTTCATAAATAGTCAAAACTTATTAAGATTCTCTGGTATTGTTCTCTTAATAAAAACGGGTGAATACCTTGTTGTGGCCATCGATAGCACACCGTCTGTTGTTTTTTCCGGTTTTTTAGTAAACAGAAAAATTACTATTTTAATTTTAGTTCTCCTTAGTTTCGCGAAATGAGACAAGTTAATGTCTGGTATGTGTATGTGTGCGAATAAACATACTAAAATGATCTATGGATTAATGGATATGGTGGTAACATATAGATCCGCAGTACATCTTTGTGTGTAGTGAATTGTGTCGTGAACAGAGCCAGCCGAACTATCGATTGACTCAGCGCTTCCAAAAATGTTTCCTCGTATTATTGTGGTTAATAAGTAGGTATTAAAAAGTATCTATATTTGCTCTAAATACTTATTTATTCTTCAAATATGTTCTCCAAGTTCGTAAACATCCTATATTTTAAAGCTTAACCTGTTTTCAACTTTTGTATTTTTTTTCTATACAGTTTAAATATTGTTCATAGAAGGAATATTTGTAAATGTGTTTCCATTTCGTTCGGTGCTCAAAGTTTGGCTCAATTGTGATGCTCGGCTTTGATTCTAGAACGAACTGGTCTGATTCATTGATAGGTTCAAGACTGATGATGGCTCAGAGCGGGTAGCTATGCAACCATCGATCATTCTGTTTTATCTAGGGAAATATTTCTGTGAAGCTGAAACGACTTCCTACTCACATTGGTATGATGAGCAATGAAAAATCTGGCATGTTGGTCAGCTAAAGCTCAAATGTCTATGGGTGCAGAACCAGTATTAGAGTTACTAAAATGTCATTTATCAAGATAAGATAATTGGATCAAAGAACGATCTATGGAAAAATGATCGAATTAAGGGGATCGTGAACTGATGCAAATTGGAAAATAAATATGCTAAGTAGAAGCAACATCAAGAATGTCGCAGCATTTCACAGGTCATAGACATTTCAACAGGCACCAGAATAGAACCTGCCTGAGCTGTGTGAGGTGCAGATTATGTGGATGCGGGTAGGAAGATCCTCTGCTACAGATTTGTTGAATGGGGAGAAGATATCAAAAAGGCCCCAACAGAGATAGTGGTTGTTTTCGCATGTAGCATAGGCCTGTTTGTTGCTGTTTGAAACTATTACAAGCTCAAAACAGCTCAGGGTAACTGTTGGGTATATTCTAAAACATTACCAGAGAACAATCTCAAGTGAATAGGCCTTAACTGTGGCCGAATAGGTAGGTTGAGGCCTCTGTGGAGTCTGTTATTGTAGACTTGCTTTCTCATTCGCTACTGAATTAACAAAAAGAATGCTCATTCTTCCAGTATGATACTTTTGGTGAAGTACAAGTAAAAAATAGTGTTGTTCAAAGGAATAACCATGAAAATAAGAAAAATATCCAGCTATTCTCTCATTTCTGTGGTGTGTTTTATGTTTTTTTTTTTATTTCAGTCAGCTGAAATTTTTATTAATTTTCCTCTTCTATGTCCTTCTAAGCCTATGTATGTTGCTATGAAATGTTTAGTGTTACATAAGTTTTCCTATGTTTCAAATTTAATCAGTATCTCACAACTAAATGAAGCTACTTACCGATCATTACTCTAGCAGGCACTGCGTTCCATTCTAACCAGAACGTTATAAACGATGACGTCACTAATATGATACCCGGTATAAAAACTGTTGTGAAATAGAAGGCGCGGTCCCTCGTGAATATCAATTCGACCATAAGACAGCTGTAGTTACCTGAAATGAAAAAAAAGTTAAAGATATCTCCCAAACGGTATGTCCTAGATGAATATCAACTCATATTTCAAAGAAATAGAGTCCTAAGTACTTAAAACGCAGCAAGTCACGATAAATGATGTAAAGGGTGTCCCAAAGTAACTTGAATTGAACGCTATATGACGAATGAGTGAGTGAAGATTGTGAAGTGTGTGAGTGTGTAGCTGAGACTTTACGTAAATTACATGGAAGAAGGAACGCTCCGAATAAAATCCTCTTTCATATTTAATGGCAATGTCTACCCTGCTTTAAAAACATGTAAAAACGTTGCCAACTTTTTAATTAATATTTCTTTCCCTTGTATGAATTCTTGCGTTTCTCTTGGGACACTCTTCAGTATCATTAATAATTTCACTCGCATTTGAAAAGATTCAACAGCTAAATTATCTAGAATCTCATAATATGGCGACTAATATGTAATTTCGTGTACAATTACGTATTTTTTCTGCAGCCTGACAGGATGGCAAGGCAGGCACCCTTAACCATTCCCNAAATTTAATCAGTATCTCACAACTAAATGAAGCTACTTACCGATCATTACTCTAGCAGGCACTGCGTTCCATTCTAACCAGAACGTTATAAACGATGACGTCACTAATATGATACCCGGTATAAAAACTGTTGTGAAATAGAAGGCGCGGTCCCTCGTGAATATCAATTCGACCATAAGACAGCTGTAGTTACCTGAAATGAAAAAAGTTAAAGATATCTCCCAAACGGTATGTCCTAGATGATTATCAACTCATATTTCAAAGAAATAGAGTCCTAAGTACTTAAAACGCAGCAAGTCACGATAAATGATGTAAAGGGTGTCCCAAAGTAACTTGCATTGAACGCTATATGACGAATGAGCGAGTGACGATTGTGAATGATTACAAGTACGGAGAGTGTGTAGCTGAGACTTTACGCAAATTACATGGAAGAAGGAACGCTCCGAATAAAATCCTCTTTCATATTTAATGGCAATGTCTACCCTGCTTTAAAAGCATGTAAAAACGTTGCCAACTTTTTAATTAATATTTTTTTCCCTTGTATGAAATCTTGCGTTTCTCTTGGGACACTCCTCAGTATCATTAATCATTTCACTCGCATTTGAAAAGATTCAACAGCTAAATTATCTAGAATCTCATAATATGGCGACTAATATGTAATTTCGTGTACAATTACGTATTTTTTCTGCAGCCTGACAGGATGGCAGGGCAGGCACCCTTAACCATTCCCTTTGATTCAAAAGTCCTACTAATTGAGAATAATTTTCAAAAGACCGTTTGCGCCTCCAGAGGTAATTGGTGTTGAAAGGGCTGAAGGCGTGTGTCAGTTTCATTCTGTTTCAACCCTAATTACGTCATGAGGCGATCAAAATCAAAGGATATAAATGTGTTGACGCGATAAATGTTAGTCAGAAGAATCATTTTTTCCACCGTAATGGACTGCGATTCAGATAAATGACGAAATAAACGGTCCTTATGTATTAGGACAAATGATGATTTATTGGGGACATAAAGCTATCTATAATTTCATATTCTTTCCTTGATATTTGATATGTGGTAAAATCTCATTTACTATTTTTCTGGGTAATATTTATACTGAGCAATTTATTTTTAAATTACGGATCCTTGATTATTCATAGCGTGGTAAATGTTTAGATGTATTTCTATAGATATAGGCTGCTCTGACAGCGTTAATTACTAGGCGACTCACCCCTCCAACTCGACTTCTGCGGGCAAACGGAGGTTGCATTATTTATAAGGTAAGCGTTCAGCGTCGTCAAGCTCGGCGATTTTCTAAGCACTTCTTCAGCATTCTTCCATACATACTTTATAGATGATACCTCGTACGATACTAAAATATAGAGAAAATGATCCAAAATCAAGAAAATTTGTGTTATTTGTATTTATCAGAAGTGGGATTTGTGCTTATAGTAGGAAAAATTTTAGTTAAAATTTAGTTTATTGATAGCCTTTTCGTGAATTATGAACAAATTGATACCATATCGTTTTACTTTCTCTGATACTTACTGCTTTCCATCGAAAACGTACACTTAGGATCATCGAAAGGAAATATATTTAAACTTCCTTGGCAGGATAATATAAGGTGCCTCCTACAAAGCAAATCGAAAAAAAATTACTGATGAATTAATTCCAAAAACATTAATAATTTTCAAATAAAATATTTGTTATTGCGTTCATTTTCCATTTGTATGACGAAAAGGGAACGTCCATTTTCATACGTTTTTGTCAACGCAGCAGACTTTAAAACGAGACAGCAGCGCTGCATACGCTATCGATTTTGGCCGAAAGGCATATAAGCTGCAGCTTGGAAACTATTCGATTCTTGCACTTTAGCCAAAAGTGGTTTGCTTTAGCACACGCCCATTATACGACTTTCATCTCTAAGGATAAAACTTCGGCAATTCCGGTCTGCATACAAAGACCTTTAGAAGAAGTAAGACGATTTAAATAGCATAGAAAATTTGACTTTTGTATACACTGAGAGAAGTATTTCTTTACTTCAAAATATTTATATATTGTTTGAATAATTTTGAATTTATAATATTAATAAATAATTTTGTACTGGAAAAGGCTGAATAAATTCAAATTATATTTATAACGGATATTAATGAAAATATTGTGAAAACTTTCACGTGAGTGTTAATAGTGAAGTTATTAGAAAAAATATAATAAAATTATTAAGTGGTTAATTAATTTTACGTTTCTGTTAGACATTTTGTTTATTCAGTTCATATTAAATGGAAATTTCAGGTTTTCTAAAAGTTTAATGTAATATTACACTCATATACAGGGTGAGTCATTAATAATGGTACACAGCTTATTGGCAGATTGCTAACGTCAAAATATAGCGATTGAGCCAAACATGCCTTAATCAATTGTTGCTCATTTTCGTTCTACAGGGTTTTAAAGTTGAAAATATATTTTCTTTTTTATGTATATTTTAAGTATGTATTGGCCGATTGTTTTGAAAATTTGTAGTTTTACGTTTTTTGAGGAGGCAAATACGAATATGCAAACAGTTTTGGGGTCACGTCTAGAGGGCGCTAGTTATACTGTCCTATCAATGTAAAAATCTGTCTTACTTTATATTTTACAATTTTTAATTTTTTAACTAGAAACTGTTGAACTACGTTCAATTCTAAATAAAAATGGTATACTAGTTACAAATCGATAAACTCAACTGTTTTCGAGATACACACATTTTAAGTTTTTGGTTTTTTAAGTTTCACCTTACATGTGAAATTATATTAAGTAATTAATTATCAAGTCAGTAATATTAGACAATATTTTCGAGGCATTACAATGTAATTCTGAATTTATACCTATTACAATTATTTCAATTTCACCACATACATTGCTGTATCAAATGTATAACACGAATTTTAATTCATGTTTCGAAAATATATATTGTTCTTTATAACTGGTTTACTTTCAGTATTATTTCTGTAGTATTAGCACTGCAATTTATTTCGATTAACTACAGTTGTACTTTTACAATAAAATGGCGTCTTTTTGGGTAACTATTTTGTAAAACTGGCAAAAGGTATCAACCTACTTCGAACCAGAAATTTTATTAGTCAAAAATAATTTCCCAGATTATCATTGTGAATTTACATTAGAATTATTGTAATTTCACCACGTGAATTTTAATTCATATTTTTAAAACATGACGTACAAGTAATGAAAAGACATTGTTGTTTATAGATGTTTCAATTTCGCTATTATCCCTGTTGTATTTTGGCTGTAACGTACCTCTAATTATACATACAGTTGTAGCTTTAGGGTAAAATGACATCTTTTTGGATAACTGTTTTGTAAATTTAGTCATAAATCTGCCTCAAACCAGAGAATTATTTTATTAGTCATATATAATTTTACAGAACAATTTTTCGACATTACAAAGTAACTGTAAATGCGAATGCGAATTCCTTTTTATTCAAAATACGACTTACAATAAACCGACATCGTTTTGCTATATTTTTAGTGCATCTTTGTTTTCGTATTTGATTTTAAGTCGATTTTTTCACTAAAACCATCTCTCAGTGTACAATACTCACCGCATGAGGTAACTTACGCTCCCGTTTCTATAAATACGAAGGGAGAAATGTACGGGGATGAGCGGGTCCTTGAAATCCCCGTGCATTATGAAATATGTGTCAGGCAGCCAGATGTCGCTGTGGTGGTGGATCGCGTTCAGGTAGTTGTACTGGCTCTGGTTCGAGTACCGCAGCCGCGGGTCGTACCATTGCTGCTGCAGCAGGAACTCCACTTCGTATTTCTGGAATAAAAAAAAAAGAAAAACAATTTTCACCCAGAAATAAATCCCATGAAGTTTTATTTAAAAAAAAAAATTGAGGTAATAGGAAAAATTTACTGAAAAGTAATACCATTGTAAGTATTATGAATATTTCTATAAATAGACCTCTAGAAAGGTAGTTTACGTACATTTACAAGGGTTGCTATGACAAAAAAGTGGTAGAAATGAAGCGTCCCCGTCTATGACGTCACGCTTTAACTTAATAAGTTTCGAGCATACATCTGATGGAAAAATTACTACACGTTAGTGCCTACGTTTTGAGAAAGAGAAAATTGATATTTTAAAATGAGAAAAATTTGATGAATTGTGTAGGTAATTGTTTTTCTTTTCAGTTATTACAACTTCCGAGTGATCATCCCTTTTAAGCTAATATTTAGGTAAAATTTTATTAAACCGTAATCGTTTTGTTGGCTTTACGAGTTTTTTCAATTAAGAGATGGAACATTATAACGATTTTTTCCATATTAAATACAGAAAAACAATATTACAAAAGTTCCTCGCTTAATTAGTCTTTGTAATAACCACTTCGAAGCAGCCCCAAACAAAATTGCACAAAAACGGAAGTTTTTTGGTCGTAGAGCGTTCGAATTCCATTCGAGGACCTATTAAAATCCGTTTTGTTCGCAAAGTTATAAATAACCAGGCGCTTCTAAATGAAAATATGCATGGCATATTTCTGACAAACTGGGTCCTTGGCTGCTGTTCAATATTTACATGACGACGTGTGCTAAATGGTCCATTCACATTACGTAAAAAGTAAGTACGCTGGAAGAAAATTTATAACAACTTCGAAACGGGTGCATATGTCTTCCGATTGTTTGGTGACGCAACAGCGACACGGGGAATAATAAAATAAACGAAATGAAAGCATACATATGATGATTTAAAAAAAAATGTTTGTCTTTTTTTATTTGCAAAAATCATCGAGTTAGTTGTACTTATACAGTCTGTCCCTCGTTTGTGTCCTGAAGCGGAAAAACTTTTTTATTTGAAAATTGATGAGAGAACTCCTGCTTGTACCAAAAATCTTAAAAATGTTAGTATTTTCCTGATTTTCTATGTGGGGTGTTAAATTGTTTGACAAATTTTAAAGTGGCCACAACAAAAGTACCCAAATTTTCTGAAATATGGAACAAAGTCACTAAGGAATGTTGATAGGAAACCCAAAAATATGGCAAATGTTTCAATTGTTTTGTTATTCCCGTAATTGAGCTAGAAACCGATTAACACAAGATAATTAATTAAAGTCCATTGTATTCAGATTTGGACATCCGATAGGTCATAACATTTTACTGCCTTTTTTTATTCCGTTATTGAATTATAGATGTATTTTTGAGTTATTCTGAATTCTGAATCCTGGAGATGATATTATTATAACTTAGAATTCTGGTTCTCCTAGAAGTCCTGATCTGAATTCAATGGATTCGTTTTAATAACTTATATGAGGACACTGTATATATTTTATATGAGGAAATTACAGAAATCGTCCTGTATGGTTTTTAAATCCGAAATAACGAATCTAGATGCCTACTTACCAAACTAGATTCATCCGGTGATGCTAGACTCAGCAGCAAGACACTGACGTTGACAGTTAAAGATTCTGAAACAATTAAACTAGCGTGAGAGAAATGTCATGTGTTGTAAGTAGATAAAAATTTGTTATCAAAATCATGCATTTAGGTAGCAAAAGCAAATTCGCATATTAAAATGTTCATAGTGTTTATCTTGTCGATTATAAGAATACAAATATTTCTAAAGGTGTTATTGCTGTGACCGATGATGAGATTTATTGTGACGCGAAACTTTGAATGAAAAGATTTTTCGAAAAAAATCAAGAATTATTGTTATTAACACAGAAAAATAGTTACAATATGCTCAGTAATTGTGTGTGTTTAATAATAGTTATTAATTAATTTATTTAAAAAAATTGCTTAAGGAAAGACCTAAAGACTTGGTAGTTTTCTTGATTTGCATAATTGTCCATCTGAAGAGCAAAAACATAATTGGAATGATGATCCAGAATTTGTTTTTTTTTCTAAGTACTGAGAAAATAAAAACACCATTGAAAAGTAGACTAATGAAATTAAATATAAGGATTAACAGAATCGTGAATCTAATAAGGAGGAAAAAGTTATTTTTTTTTAATTTTTACCAATTTTCTGTTTATTTAAATCTATGAATTTTGTTTTTTAATTATATGATTTGTACATAGTAACAATAATATCTTTACACCTTATTCTAATTGAAAGGATTAGCTTAGAAGTCGAAGGCTTGTGCGGACGAGGGGACGGTAACCTATTATTCAGTAGATCGTACTTACGCCCTAATGATTATTGAGTGGTGGAAACCAATGGTCTTTCATTTTGTAATACCCGAGGAGAGACTGTCTATTTCTCCTGTGCAAATACAGACCGATTTAGGTCGTCCAATAAGAGGGTTCGAACCCGTGGTCTAGGCAACAATGACTTAAAATCTCATATCTTAAAGCGTTAAGCTACCGACCGGAAAAGAGAGATAAATGAAATGAATAATTTTTTTATTCGAAGTTTACTTTATAATCAATTTTCTCAATTTTTTATTTTATAATCAAAATATTGCCAATAGACTTACAAATTGACTTAAGACTTACTGTTAGTCCTATTGGTTTTCTTCAATCTATGAGAATTTTGGATTTTTTCCACGCACTTTTATTGAAAACTACGATTTTATATATAAAACAGTATTTGCAAACGACATTTTGATAGTTTCCTTATCTTTTTAACCACTCTTCTTTGAAGTTGTCCCAGTGTTTCCTCCTACTTAAGGGCAGTTAACAATGTAAAGCAACAAAAATTGTATTTTCCTAAAGACAAAACATCTATTCTGGATAATAAACTTCCAATCGCTACAAAATCTGTTTAACTATTCTTTGAACGTGGTGTGTTCCTTCTGATAACACACATTGTGTTTCTTGTTAAAAAAGACACAATTAAATCAAATTGAAGGCGAGCTTTCCCCAATCCACTGTTTGGCTTTTCACAGAATGTGTAATCTAATATCAGTTATTCAGTAACTTCAAAGGTTAGTACAGATCAAAGCCTCCAAACAAATCCAGACACTCTTCTACGTATATTTATATTCAACTGGGCACTTCTGTCAAAGCTATTTATAGAATTCTCATATACGATGTATTACAGTTGTTTGGCAATTATGTGGTGACCCAGATCTTGTCCGCGATATTGTCGATTTACCCTAGAGCATATATAATCCATATTAGTGACATATGGGTTGTGTATCGTGTGGCGGATATGACGAGAAGCAGGCCTGAGTAAATGCACCGATTGTTGTTTTGGTTGGCGTATAACTAACTGAGGAAAAAGTAGAAAAATGAGGTAAAATTAGCACATGAAGATGTGGCCAAAACATATATGTTTGAAGTAGCTTGTACACTTGGAGCACTTTTTACTTAAAATTGCATTTTTCATCTTTTATTCAAGGTTGAGTATATACAGGGTGTCCCAGAACATGTGGGCAATCGGATTTATGCAGGTGATGTCAAAATAACATGCAATCCCTATAAACATTTTTCCTTTAAAATACTTAATTATTATTTAATTTAATTATTTTTTAATACGATGGACAACATATAAAACTTTAAAAATTGACCCATTGAAACAATTTGGCTTATTTGGTCAATTTTTTCACACCTTTTACGATAAAGGCACAAAAATAATATTTTTGATGATTTAATCTTGAACCTTAAATAAAACTAAAAAAGGCACTCTTGCTTGATATCGAGAAAAACTATTTTTGTTTAATGTGATTTTTATTACATCTGTGAAGACAAATAAACGATAAAATTTGCATTCTTTCTGTGCCTATCTAAAAAATGCCACTTTTATTTTTTGTTTAAGCAGTGACTATAACAAGAATTCTTGTTATAGTCACTGGTTTAAGTCAATAAACTATCATTTACTGCTGTATTTTTATTAGTTGTTTGTAATGATACAATATTCAATAAGTGGAAATACAGATATGGATAATGTTTATATACAATTTAACAGACTTTTATGTAATTATTTAGATTTACGTAATTTGTTTAATTTCCTTTTATTTTTTCTCTAATTTTCCCTTATTCATGTGTTCATTTTATGCATGTATTTTTTTCTGTAACATTTACTAAGGGAAAACGTACCGTTTTATCCTGTTTGGATTCCATTTACAGTAAATAATAAAAGACAAACAATATTTGGCCTTTGAAGTAGATCACACTCATAATTTCGAATGTAAAATCCCACTTGGTTCGCGTTAAATTAAAATTGCATTCCACGCAATTTCATTCCCAAGTGGATCAAAGAAAACAACTCGAATTAACGCAAATACCTAGTCACATTAACATTTCGAGAACTGAAAAATTTGCCAGCATTTTCAAATGCATACTCCAACCGATCCTGACTGCCGGATTATGTATTATATGCAAAATAAATGGGCTTGTGCAGTTCGTGTTTTGAGAAATAACAACGCCTTTAACTGTAATTAACGCGAGCATTTTTTTCCGGAATAAATTAACTCTAATATAATGTTTATTCAAGCAGGCCTTGCTATCGCAGTGGCGATCGTATTTGATGCATGCTATGAAGAAAGAAAGTGGTATACGCGGTATTTCTTGATGCACGAAGAAAAAAACGACCTTGAAGTTACTCGTGTACATATTGTTACCGCGCAAGGATCTCCCTTGTCCAGTGACGATGGAATAATGCTAACTATGAAAAAGAAGATGCACACACTATACAGGGTGTCCCATAAGCACATGATCAAAAAGGTACTGCGACATTCTGTGGCTCAAAAGAAGACGATTTGACCTAACATCCATTAAGAAAAAATGCCTGGCTCCTCTGCTATTCACTGTCAAAGTTCTTGAAAAAAAAAAATGTTTTTTTGTAATATCTGGAGAATGTTACGATGGATTTTAATGAAACTTGCTGTGGACAATTTCACCAGCCGAATTTTATTCACCATTACGCAGAAGAAATCCCTCATGCGAGGCGTATTAACAACTTTCAGGTGGAATTTCCGATAAATATTTGGGCCGGCATCCTTCTGGGTCCTTATGTCATGCAGCGCCGCTTGAATGGCGAAAATTATTTCAATTTTCTGACGAATATTTTTCTGGTTCTAATGGAAGATGTCCCTCTCGATCTTCGTGCTCAGATGTGGTTCATGCACTATGGTGCTCCTCCGCAGTTTAGTGCAAATGTAACTGCACATTTAAATAATACTTTTCCACACGAGTGGATCGGAAGAAGAGGGAGAGATGTTCCTGTCAAATGGCCCCCCAGGCACCCCCGACTTAACGCTGTTAGATTTTTTTCTATGGGGAGCCTAGAAGAATAAAGTTTACGCTACTCTTGTGGAAACTCAGGAAAAATTAAAGCGTAGGATTCAAAACGAGGCGGACGTAATACGGAATGATCCAAAAATGTTGAGGAGGGCTCAATTCAATTTCAGTCGAAGGATCCAGCTATGCATCCAATAAAATGGGGGGCATATCGAACATGTCTTATAATTCCACCATCATCTATCGTATCTATGTAACTATCATCCAGTTTCAATAAAGAGAATTATGTCTTTCCTAACTACGTCTTTTCATTTTTTGAGTGTTAACAAAAAATAAATCTAATGAAGTAAAATGATATTCAATCCGTCGAATTGCGACAGACTTTAAAATTGCGACCATTTGACTTACTTTCAATATTGATATCCTAGGTAAAAGAATTGACAATTATTATTAGAGAAAGATGATTCTTATAAAAGGGCAGATTTACTGCGATACATTTAAAATTGTTAAATCACAACGAAACAGAAAACATTTTTTTGCGTAAAAACTATGAATGCTACAAGATTTTACCAAGAGCACGAAAATTTCGAAAAAGGACAGATGCATCAATAAAAATAAAATGAATTAATTGCAGCGATCAAATAAAAAGTTCTGGTAATTCTTGTACCAAGACACTCAAGAATTTACTACTAGCCCAAAGCAGATGGACGCGGTTGCTTCATCAAAACATGAGTTTTAGGTTTATTTAGGAACAAGTCCACAGCAAGTTTCATTAAAATCCATCGTAACATTCTCCATATATTACAAAAAAACATTTTTTCTTAATGGAAGTTAGGTCAAATCGTCTTCGTTTGAGTCAAAAAATATCGCAGTACCTTTTTGATCATGTGCTTATGGGACACCATGTATAACACTTAAATCTTTAATACTTTTATTTAGGTTATTAGGTACCTATTATGAAAATAAGACTTGTCATTCCCTCTCAACTCCGGCAGTTCTCAACAGGTTTACACTTCTTGTCTGTGCATCATATGGTTTAGTACAACAAGGCAGAGTTCTTCAAAAATATTTTCCATTGATTTTTGTGATTAAACTTTTTTGCAATATCAATTACTTAAACATTTCATTCCGTGAGGACGACTAGATTGAGTTGATTGAAGGAAATTACAACAATCTGACAAAGTTTTAATCTTATCCTTAACTTTCGTCAGGTTTACAAAGTCAATAAAAACATCTGGATGTAGGGGAACTCTCTGAAGCACGCCCGCCCGTTGTCAGCTTCA